CCTGACATTGGGATACTGTCCGTGACGGAGAAGAAGAAGGACGACATGGAAGTGGATCAGGAAGGCTCCAACGGAAGACTGCTCCTAACTATGAGTACAGCGGGGAGGGAGATGATCGAAGGATCCTTCCCAAGAACACTCCGATAGACATGGAGAAGTCGTTGCCCGCCGAGGTAGCGCTCTTGATTCCGAGAGCAGTGGCCACGCAGAAGGAGGCTGAGGAAGCCGAGAGGGCCGCAATGGAGGCCATCCGCGGGGACTATAGGCTCCCGGACGTGGGTCAAGAAGACAGGGAGAAGGTTGACCCTTACACCGTGACGGATGAAGACTTGGCTGCGTCGGTAGACGCGTTGACTAGGAGGTTGAGTAACATGCCTGAATGGTCGGGCAATCTGATCGACCCTGCGAAGTCTGCTGAGCTAGTCGCGGCGAGATGGGGCGGAAAGGCGAGTTATGACAAGCCTGAGGCTCCACTGACTGAGGCTGGGATGAAGAGTGCGTCATTGGAGGATCGTGCATATGCCTTATCGCAGCTGAATCAGATGGTGAACTTTCACAAGAAGCACCTATGCTCTGGGCGAGGAGCGCCTATGGTGAGTGCGGCTGCCCCCAGTGGACCCTTTGCTCCCGATCAGCTGGATGATAGCAGGAGGTTCAGACCTAGTGAGGCGGCGAGCAAGATGACTTACAATCTTGTGATATTGGATGGGAGGAAGGATTATCTTGCCGATAGGCGGGAGATCAATCCAGAGTTGAGGGAAACTGGAGTTATCCCTGATGAGGCCGTTACCTGCCAAATTGTGGTTCCCTCGAAGACAAGGTTGGGCGAATACCTCCCGAACTACGAGGAGACCGTGGGCACCGTTGCAGGGCGGGAGGCGGCTAAGGAGTTGATGAGACTGCTCTCGTGCGATTTCGAGGGTCTGGTCATCAATTCAAAGAGAGTCTCGGAGTTATTCGAGGAACGCGTGCTGAAGGAGACCGGACGTGAGGCTGGAAACTGGGTGAAAAGTGACCAGGCCATCTGGTTCCTGAAGGAGATCTCGGGCATGGAGAACGCTGAGATGTCTTGGAAGTTCTTCATTCCGACGCTCAAAGCTTTCCCGATAGGGCAAGTTGAGGCGATGCTCATGGTCATGTACGACGGGAATGGTGTCCTCCTCAAGGAGAGCACTAGGTTGGTGGCCGTTAGGCACACGCGGATCGGACGCGACATGAGTTACAGTGCCGTTAGGCATAGGTACACTCAAGAAGATGCACCTGGCGGATCTCTGATGTACGAGATGCATTGGAATGAACTCCCCATGGTGGGGTACGTCATCATGAAGTTCTCGGACTTCCGGAAGGCGGTTCAGCTCCAAAGGGTGAGGCGAAACGGAAAGGCCATGATCGAGATATTGATCACGAGGCCTGATGTGTACGAGACCATTGGGGATGGTAGGCAGGATGAGGGCCTGATCCCACTTGTGGGAGCCATGGCGCCGGATGCCGAGGTATCGCCTTCGTGGTATGTCAGAGACAGGCTGCGGAACTACTCCGGTAGATACGTGGTGGTAATGGTGGACCTTCGGGTGCATTGGTCCTTGGTTGGGCCCGTGTTTTTGACAAGAAGGAAGACTCTGGCCGTTAGGAACGAGATCCACATGGGAGCTTGGAAGGCGGCCTACATGTACGATGATTACACGATAGTGTACCATCGGGCATGGGACTATGGTGACTTCACCCCCGTTAGGGGAGAGCACAGGCGATCGCGGGAAGAGGTCAGGTTGAATGTGACTACCACGTTCTGTTTGAGGTGCGCGGAGATGACGCCAAATGGGATGCATTTGTGTCCTGGATGCGCGCTCCCGGTCTTTTACCCGAACTTTATCCCCAACGCGGAGGAGAAAGACTTCGAGAGTTGCCACATCGTGCCGGAGTGGGTGAGGACCATGGGGCAGTTCAAGCCCAAGAGGATCCCCACCGAAGTGGTCGGAGTCATCAAGAGGAACTTGATTTCCTATTCGATGGCGTCTGATCTGAGGATGACGGTGCAGAGCGGCATCAGACTGCCCCCTTATCTTGGTGAGGACAAGGGAGGAGTCGATGCGGCGTGGGATGAGCTGGCGAAGGTGCTCTTCCAATTCTCCTATGTGTCGGGGATTTCGGCATCGGATGCGTTCGTGGAGAAGTGGGTGGCGAAGCACCTGATTTTGACCAACCAAGTCGATAGATTTGAGTCGGTTACGGAGTACTTCCGGGCTAACCCAAGGCATGCTGCCCAGTGGGGTAGGCGTATGACGACTTCCGTTAGGAAGTTCGCTCGCCATGACACGTACTTGTCCTTCTACATCCCGATGGCATACGTGATTGGCTCCGCGGCTGGTCATCTGACCCCATTGTATCCGACCCATCGAAAGGACGTGGACATCCTGGAAAGCCATGCATTGATTTCGCAGCTCAGGCAGTACATGGTGTCGGAGACAGGGTACGATGAGAAGAAGAGGTTGAAGGAGGCGATAGCCAAGGTGCAGAAGGCGATCAGTGCCGGACAGTCGGAGCCTCCCGCACCCTTTCGTGACCCGTTCGTCTACGTCAGTGACGAGAGGGTGAGGACGGTTCTTGATGGTCGTCAACCCGAACCACTAAACGTGGACATCGAGGGACTTCAATCGGTGCATCATGCTGCGCCAGGTCCTGGTCCCAAGCAGGAGCCGGTCATCAAGGGCGGAAAAGGAAAAGGGAAGAAGGGGGAAAAGGGCGGTAAGGGCGGTAGTCCTTCCGGCCCACCACCGAAGTCAGGTGAAGTGCCAGGTAAAGGATCTGGCAAGGGCGGTAGCCCATCTGTCCCGAAGGCAAAAGCAAAGGATGATGCTGGGCCAGCTCCGATGGAGGTTGATGCAACTGTGACTCAACCGAAGAAGACTTGGGTCGAGATGGTGGTTCAAGGAGCCCGGCCGAGTGCGAAGGCTAAAATGACCCCGGTTCCAAAGGCCGAGCCAAAAGGGAAGGCCGCTTCAGTATCTGAGGCGAAGAATGCTCCGGCTCCGAAGGCTGAAGCTAAGGAGACGAAGCAGGCCGAACCGAGGGTTGAGGTCAGGAAGGAGAAGATGGGCGGAGATGACGCTCCTGGCGGTAGCCGGGGGTCGGCTGAAGGGCAGAAGAGAGAAAGGAAGTCCCGTTGGGGTCCCGATGAGACTGTGAAGGAGTCGACGAAGCGGGAGGCATCAACAAGGCCTGATGACGTCGACAGCAGACCAGGTGCGGCAGCGAGAGAGGCTAGTGGGGATGATCTTCACTCCGCGCTTGGCAGATCTTCGGCGAAGGACGCGGTAGCGCCCTTGACGGCCTCCAAGGCAATGGCAAAGAAGCCTGAAGGCGGTGAGATCAGGTTGCAGTCGGCTGAGCGAACTGCGGCGAGCCCGGTGGAGGGTCATTTCCTGGTGCTGCCTGGGAGTTCGGTGGTGGACGCTCTTTTGGCAGTCTCCACCAACAGAGTGCTGAACAAGCAAGTCAGGGATTTCATTAGAAATGGTGAGGACGCGTCAGCACTGGAGGCTCTCAACCAGATCGTGACGAACTCTCGCTCTGGAAGGAGGCGTAGGGAATCGGATGTCTCCCGTACTCCTTCTCGGAGGTCCGTTAGGACCGTGGACACCAGGGATTCCAGGGAGTCAAGGAGGCGCAGATACCGTCCACGACGCGAGGATGATCGAGACCGGAGGAGGGACGATGCTCGTGATCGTCGTGATGATGAATCACTCGATCGGGAGCGAGATCGAAGGCGAGATGATCGCAGGAGATCCGAGAGGGATCGTGATAGGGACCGTGCGCGGGGCGGACGTGACCGGAGGAGACGTGACGATAGCCGGTAGGCTGAGTCACGAGGATTGCGGCCGATAGGCTTGCGTCCATTCTCCAATGGTCGGCGCGGTGCGGAGGTGGTGATGTTCCTCCCGGACCGCTGAGGCGCGGAGGTCATGTCTCTCCCATACCGCTGCTGGGCTGCTGGACGTGTTCATCAGGGAGCAGTGTGAGTGAGAGGGAAAGCAAACTGATGGGGGGTTACTCCCGGGTTTGCAGAATTCAAGCATTTTTTATTCAGGTACGCATGGTCAGGAGTACCTCTTGCCGTTAGGCGAGGGTACTAATGGACATACGTTATCTTTTATTTCATGGCTTCTGATAAGAATTAAACTTCTTGCATTGTTGATGCAAACAGTTGTGACCTAGTGTCGTCATGTGGACTTTTCCACAAGGTTTGTTGGACAGCGTTACCCCGATTAATTCGGGGTGGTGGCGGGAATTTAATGCCCGGGATGTCGCGCAACTGCCTTTGTGGGTTTGCTCCACCGCTGACGGCGGTAGTGTCCAGCTGTTTGCGGACGCATGCGAGCAGTTAAATCCTATCAGTAAATGGCACGCTCCACCCGTCATATGACGGGCTCCTCGTGAGGGGGGTGTGATTAGCCATGGTTCATATCATCATCAGGAACGTCGCGTTAGTGACCGACCTGTGGTGTTTTGGCTCAAGTGTGATTAGCCATGGTTCATATCATCATCAGGAACGTCGCGTTAGTGACCGACCTGTGGTGTTTTGGCTCAAGTTTTGGGTTCCGTCGCGCCTCGAATGGGCGTCGCCGAACCCCTGCGTCGACCGACGGCATCTCGGGGGAGAAAGAGACCTCGGGCCGCCGCCAGGTTGGTAGGGACCAGTCGTGCGGCCTGTTGTCGACCAAGGTTGCGGGTTAACCCTTTTCTTGTTTGGTTTGTTTCCTTTTGGTTGTGGTTCTCTGGTGTGTGGGAAACCCTGATCTTTGGGACCGGGGATTGGTTTGCTTTTGGGGAACCTTTCTTTTGTGGCTTGTTTACCCCAACTAACCCATTGCCTGGGCACAGGCTCGTGCCCGAATCACATTCCCCTCTAAATGGTTTTTTTTGTTTGGTTTGGTTTTCGTTGGTGAGTAAGGATAGGATACGACTCCATGTTTCTATCCATCAGCCACCTGCCTGTTCGCCAGGTGGCTGATGTGGCGCCCGGAGTGCCGTGCGTGCACCCAGTCGGTTGAAACGTGAGGCTCTTGTCGCTGCCTTGTTGAAGCAGGGCTGTGGTTGATCTGCTTTCTTGGTGGCGTTGGTATGAAACCCACCCTTTTGGGGTGTGTGTCTGTGAGGGCGCCCTTTTTTTGGTGGCTTTTCAGCGAAATCCACCATTTTGGGGCAGGGTTGTGGGATCACTCGGGGTCTATCCAACCACTTCCGTTTTTTTTGTTGTTTTTTTTTTGTATGGGGGGGTAGTCTTCGGGAAGCCATTTCTGTTCTATCACAGAAGTGGTCATTTTCCACAGCCCTGTGTTCAAGCATGCGGGATTCGGCTTGCCTTCGGTGACGCATGCTGCATTCTTAGCTGTTGAGTCGGCAACCGTGCTATTCTTTGACTTGGGATTTTTCTCGTCATGTTGCGGAGTGTGATAAGCCTTTTTTCTGGCAGATGCCTTCATCAAAGTCAAAAGCGAGCAAGCCTCAGTTTCTCTCGCCAGCTAACTCAGCAGGTCCGCAGGTTCATTAAAAAGAAACGCTCAACGATTGTCCGTCAATGCAAGGGTCCAGCCACCCAAGAGTGTTTTTTTCCCAAAAGGTGTAGCTGACGGGAGCCAGTAGCAGAGTTCCTTAGCACACACTGAGTCTAGCCATGTCAAACATCACCTTCACCAACTTGGAGGTGCATGTGATTTGTTAATATGCCCAGCCTCACGGATCTAGGGCACCGTGTTCGGACCCTTAGGAAACTGCCTGTTCGGACCGGGTGTCTATGGCTTGCATTGGAGAACAGCCAGAAGATTTGATGCGCATAAATCCATAAATGATGTTCACCAAAGGGTCCAAGCAAGACTCATGTGTGTGCAACTTGACAAACTTTGCACATTTCCAGATACATGCACTTGCAGTATCAGGCGCTTCTATTTCAAGCAAGGCGCGCGCGCGAGTCACCCGTCGCGGCTTTCACTTGCGTTTGCACGAGCTTCTTCCGCCAACTTTGCTGAACTGTAGATGTTGGTGCCAGGGAATGCATGTTAGATGTAGTTGTATGTTTCATTTCTATGAGGCTATGTTCATTTTTTTTTTTGTGTGTGTGTGTGTTGGCGTGGTTCTGCTAGGAGCGAACATGTCCCGAGGTTGCTTGTGTTTCATTGGTTCCATGAATCTGACCACTTCTAAGCTTATCAGTCAGACACTATGTTATTCCATCAAACCTACCACTTGGCTGAATTTGAACGCGGTAACATCATGTTGCCAGCATCGACCGGATAAATCCGCCAACCTTGGCGGAGTCTGACCGAGTGCTACTCCCATCCAGTCTGGATCCTATCTCAAACGATCTGTGCCCGAAATTTAATCAGCCATGGCTTAGTTGACCAAAGGCAACCTTTCGATCTTTTGGTTTCCCTGATTAGGTCCATTCTTAGTCAAGGTCCGAAAAGGTTAACCTTTTAATCCTATGAGGTAAACTACACTACAAGCTATTGCCACAAAAAACTGGGAGATTGGGTTAACATGAAAGGTTTCCCCCCCTTGCATCTCGGGAACTGAGCTGCGAAGGTTTCTCATGGCTTTTCCGAGGCTCGTTTACGAAGTGGATGCGAATCTGAAGGTCCTGCGCAAGTGCCCACAGCCGAGGTTTCATCGCTAGAATCAAAGGTGGGAAACCCCAAACCGCAGTTTGAGCTGGAGTGGCAATCCCCCATCGTTTCCCAACTCGTAGCCAGCAGCACTAAAACATGATGAATCACCACCTGCAGCGAGCAGCACGGCTGGGGTACCAGGGAGCCCCTGGCCAACGGCAACGCGGGCCCTACGACGAATGAGGAAAGAAACCCTGAAGAAGAATTCGACCATCAAACACACATTACAAAGGCAAATAAGGGGGGACTTTGTTGAACATGATGTTCATTTTCCTGTGAGTGCATATGCATGTACTGTACAAAGGCCATGCCACCCTGCAGCTGGCAAATGTGTATTTCGACTCAAACCTGGTGAACAGAGTTGGTTTCGCTGCGCTGCATATGGTTCACTCAAGAGGTTTCTTCCATGAACACAAGGATGAACCTGTTCCCAAGCCCGACCCCCTCTGATTTTTTTTGGGATGTCCGCCAGGACTTGTGACACGACCTTTATGAAGGTTCCTGCGGTACCATTAAACATATTCCAGGCACTACAGATGAAAGGCCTTTGGGTCAACCTACACTGCTCAAAATGCTCGGTTTCTTACGGGAACATAGAGATCAACCCCCAAAGTCATTGACATTTGGAATCGGTGGTACTTGTCTTGTGTCACTTGTCCCAAATTTGCAAAGCCTCAAGTGTTGACCCTGCAAATGGCATTCTGGTACCATCGAAGGGCCCAATTCCGTCCGAGGGTCGATCAGCGCGAAACCACCATGTCATCTGTGATCAGGCGCATTGGCTATTTAGAGCGCTGCACCGGGTTTGAGTTCATGATAGTGCGTCCTGAACAACCATTTGGTGGAAACTGAATTCCAGGCGTGAAAGGGTGCTGCCCTTGTGGATTGTCATGTCTGAATGAATATGGGTCTGTCTAAATGGGGGAACCCCCAACATATGTGATTTTACTTTAGATTCTTCTGAAACAAGCCTGAGAAGACAAGTCAGAATGGTGCCCAGGAGCAATCACCTGATCTGCAGGTTATATCAGGGGAACGTCTTTTTTGTCTTTCCTCCATCCTGTTTTCAAGTTTGATCTCGTGGCCATCCAAGAAGCCTCCATGCCTGAGAATCCCCTCGGATCTTCCATAGCTTCATGGGGTTTCCGGATGCTCCATGGGTATGTTGGCTAAGCAACGAAGGGGTACGGACAGGGCAACACACACGGGAGGTATTACTTGGATGACGCCCTCGCCCAGAAGAAGCTGAGCGAAGTGAAGTAGGCGAGGATGAGTCCAGAGATGCATTGTGTCACTTTGGGCACTGTGCAAAATAGCGATGTATCATTGGGGACAACATGAGGATATGTACTGTGTGTGTGTGTGTATATATATATATATATATATATACACATACACACATCAGACCCACGCGCACACCCTCACACACACAGTTTATAAGACTAAATGACATACCACGAAGGCACACTTCAAGCGATGCTTGACGTCAAGGCTCTGCCTGGCTGTGGATTAGACACCGCCACCAAAAGAGCTCTTCGATCTTCCCCCCCAAAAAAAAGAAAAGAAAAGAAGGAACAACAAGAAGCAAACAAACCAGTGGGCCTGATTGCACATTTTCAGGATCCTGACATAGATTATATAAATGAGTTTAGAGCTCATGGCAAGCCTGTTGCATAGCCGAGCTGTCTGAATTCGTTGGCTCCGATACAAGAGCGGGCAGTCAAGACTTCAACTGGCAAGTGGCGGAGGTTGGCTTGTGCGATGGGTTTCCCTCAAGCATTGCAAGGTGAATCTGGTTACTTTAGCAATCTGCGGAATATGGGTTTGTCTTTTGTAGGGGACCCCCCGAAATGGGTGTTTTCCTTTTGGTTTCCCTTTAAAGCCACAGAAAAGGGGGGTGGCCTCCAACAAAACACCCCCCTCTTTGCGTTTGTCGGTTCCCGCTTGCGTTCCTTCAGGAACTTCGGGTCTCACAGCTCGATGAGGGCTGAACGTGCAACACAAGCGCCCGAGTTGCGAGTTGTGTCCTTCAGGCAAAACGCTGCGAGGGCGCTGAAGCGGCTCGTGCGCTTGTTTTGGCGTCTGTGAATGTTGTTTGACCACCTTGAATGTTGCTTGCTTGATGTGCATGTTTTTTTGTGCATTCGTTTGGCAGCATTGCTGGTTGGTGTCGACATCCTGTTCAACTAATTCTAGACAGACGTTTTGGAGCAGAGAAAAACATCCTTACGCGCTGAGCGGCGCGTCAAAGGCTCCTTGATTCTCCAGACATCTGGAGCTGACTGTAGGCCCTCTGCCCTGCCCCCGAAACCGCGAAACCGCGGCGTCGGGGTAAAGGGGAAAAGGGGCGAGGCGATAGCGGAAAAGCTGGGAGTGTCCGAGGGCGAAGATGGCTTCCACCCTGAATAACCTAAGGAATGATCCAGGGTGTGGGGAATGAACCGGAAAGGGGACTCCCGAATAAAGGAAACCATAGGCTGGATGTTTTATTTTTTGGGGGGGAGCAACAAGGGGGTATGATAGCTATACAAGTGGATGTAACATGGCAAGCATGTTTCCCCTGCGTCCCGGTGGCTTCAGTTTGGGCGCAGTGGAAGCCCCCAATGTCTGCGGGGTGAGGGAGGAAGAGCTTTTGCGTGGAAGATGAAACTCAGGCTTCGCCTGGTGGCATGTCGGCGAGTTACTTCTCACGCCAAACCAGGGTTGACGACAAGTCGTAGAGAACAGTCCCAGTGAGAAACAAAAAAGGCACAGACGCCCCTTGGACGCTTTAGCATAGGTGGGTAGACTCCTTGACTATCAGGCGTTTGAGTGTGACTCGTGGGTGCAACACTCCTTGGAAGTTGACTTTTTCATGGTTTGGAACAATGAGGGCTATGCCTATGCAAAGCCATCTTGGGAACCAGCCAAAAGCCCGTCGGACTCAAACCGCTTCCTAGTTCTGGAGGGAGTCCATGGCATGAATGCCGACTCGACCGTGAAGCGGTCCCTAGGATGCCTCCTGACAGGTGGGGTGGGCGATGCATTTTTTTTCTTTTCAGAATGAAACGCACTATGGCCCTTCTGCAATGCGAGATCTTGAGTGACCGAGGCTGAGGTAGGTGATTGGCTCTGAGTTTGTAATCTATCCAATGGCTGTGACAACTGGAGGTGCATGGTGCGCCCCATGCACCCACAGTTTCGGGTATGTTAGGCTCTCCCAATTGGACGGAGACTCCAGGCACGTTGCAGTCGGTTTCAAAAGGGTCATGTTTTTTCTGTCGACCTTTGGCATTTGGGTGCGACCTGACCAGTTGCGAAAATCGATGGGCTATGTCCAACTTGCCCTTTGGCAAATTGACTGTTGGCCCATCCGAACAAATGGAGCAAAACGGACCAAGCGCTGACCCGCAAAGGGTATCCGCTTCAGAACCCGCATGTGTGCATTTGCTTGCATGAACTTGCGCGCCCTCAGAGACAACCGGTGCATGACACTTGCCGACAGCAACATTCCACAGGATTCATGATCGCCACGCCCATTTTTCGACGTTTTCGGATTTCCGAAGTTCTTCTTCAGTGCGACCTCTCCAGCCAAGAGAGCTGCTGCAGGCCGGGCAGATGGAGGAGGACGGTGGTGGGTCCAAACTAAAACGACTTATTCAAATTCCATCCTGTGCGCGTCTAGGATTGGAAAGAGGGTACCCAAAGCAGTTGCCTTTTTCCACCTGAGCATCTGCCAAACTGTATCTTTCAGAGTTGTTTCACTGCTGGTTCCCTGGCACCCTCACACCCAAAAAGGGTTGAGGAACTTTAGGAAATAGGCAGGTGTGTTACTTGTTGGGCCTCCTCTCCAACCCCAGCTACCCAGAATTCTTTTTTGTTGGTTTTTCCTCCCAGAAACAACCATTGGATACTTGCGCAAACTATAGACAGGAATCTGCTTTTTCTCTACAGAACTCTCCCTTCCTAGCACTTTTGTTTTGAAGGATTCTTTCAAAGTTACCCTTCCAACACTCATGTTCAGCCTGACCAGGAAGGCTTCTGTGACTGCTTTCCTTTTGCACCTCCCTGTCCACTTCCACGGTGCCTGTTCATTTGAGCCACAATCAAACCCGGGAAGATGAAGGTTAAGGGACAATCCCCTTGCCATAAATTGCGGAGATTCGGCTTCTTAATTCTTGAAGCATGATTTTGATACCGGGTTTTGAGCAAGCGACTCAAATGGTGTTCATGTGGTCCATCCACGATCAATCCTATCATCATGGGGGTGGGGGGAAGGAGGGGAGGGGGAGGGTTTTGAGCAAGTGATTCATTTGTGGTCGAAGTTTGGCAGCCTCGCAAAAGGTCATGGCGGAGCATCCAAAGCTCGGCATTCGGACCAACAGGCGCAAGCCGGCGTGCGGTCGGCGCGTTTTTGGTTTTGTAACTGAGCCTGGGCCCATTACAGTGAAGGTTTTGAGGGTTCGCAGTTCTCAAAGCACTTCTGGGGGGGTGGTTTTTGAACCGATCCACGTTTTTACAGGGTGATTTGGAGGGTGTCAAGTTATCGCAGTAATAGTTTTGGTTCCCACCAAGTGATGTACTCTTGCAGGGGTTGTTTTCGGGGAAATATTGGGAGCCCGATTGTGGATGAGCAAGAGGTGGCTTGCTTTGCTTTGCGTCAACAGCCTAACCTTTTCAAGGGGATGACTCGGGGCACAGTCCCTAAGCACCATGAGGGAATTGGGGTTACTCACCAGCTCACAACAAACATTGGGTGTGGCTCACGTGAATTTTGAACGGCTCGTCTAGCGTCCACGTTTTTATGCGAGGACCTTTCACCACCAGTCAGCCACCTCTTACCTGTCCGATCCCCAATTTCCATCTGCTCAAGGGTGCCTGGTTGCTAAGAAGAAAAACAAAAACAAAAAAAACAAGCTGCCTATTTTTTCTCCCAGAGAAACCCATAAGGTGAACAAAACAAGTCCGGAGCCTTTCTCTTGCCTCCTGTCCCTTACGACTGGGCAAAGCAAGTTTTTAGTGGGGTTCTCAACACGTCCCGAGTTCGAAATGACACATTAAGTGACACATTCCGAGGACTGTGCCAGTGATAAGTCAGCAACACATACAGAAAATTTGAAGTTCTTCAGCCCGTGGAGGATTCTTTATTCTTCCCCTTTTACTTTGTTTTTCTTTTTCTCCCCCTAATACATCACTCCTGGACTTTCTTTTTTTTTTTTTAACCAGGGGACGTACGTATCCACCAAAAGTCAGGTCTGACGCAACTAGGGACTTTGGCCACGGGTTGCTCAACCCGCCCGGTGCCAAATGGTTCAGGATCTGCTGCATCGGCGCGGGCTATGTGGGGGGCCCCACTATGGCCACCATCGCCCTGAAGTGCCCCCACCTCCAGGCAGACCGCGGGTCATGCTGGGACCGGAAAACGCTCTACTCATGTCACAAGCGCTGCGGCTTGTAAGTGCGTGCTCGCAGACCAGGAGAAGATTTCTGGTGTTTTTTTTCCTCGTGGAACAAATTGAAGCGAGTCTTTTTAGGATTGCCGTTGAAATGGAGGGTGTTCCGTCTTGTTTTTTTTCTTTTGGCAAGCTTGGGTTCAATGTCATGAGCACTGGGAAAGCTGGCTGCGACACTCTCGGGGTTGGACTGAAGTCTGGCCCGCTTCAACAAGAAATGGGAGGGGGATGACCCTGGAATTCCTTTCCTCTGTATCTGAAAAGGTTGTGGGACAGGAGCTCCCAGCACTGCCAGGGCTTCCAAAAGTGTCCAAGCCCAGCCAAATGGTTCGTGCGGATGGAAAACTAACAGAACTGGGGAACCTCAACCGCCCTCCCGCCAGCCACCTTTTGTTCGTGTCGTTTGGCCCTGGAAGGCCCGTTGCCTTTTGGCCCTAACCTTTCCCCGTAAGAGTTCAGCCGTGTGATCAGCCTAAGGATTTGAGTATTGTTGACAGAGCACGTGCATGCGTGTCATCTGCATGCCGGTATGTACGCAGTGTTTTCAGCATTGCTCCTTCCTTTTTCCTTAATAGACTACATGAAACAGAACACCCACCAAGCAACTTGAACCTTTTCGTAATCACTATCATTCTTTTAAACCCTGGATGGAAGATTGAACATTGCGCAGAAAGCTCCTTGAGCATCCTGACCAACCCCGAAACTTGAAAGCTCATCTCACAACTTTCAAGTTGTTGTTCCCCGCTGGATCGAATATTGAAGATGAATTTTGCAAAGAATACTTGTTTTAGATATTTTAGTCATGACAAACCCCGAACAACTTGAATGTTTGTGCACATACTTTCATGTCTTTGTGGGTGACTTTTTTCCCGGAAGCATGCGAAGGGTTCTTCTTCTAGCAACCGGCTGCAAATTTCTCTCGCCAACTTCTCCTGCCAACTTTTGGAGTGTTGCCTCACTTAAAACACAAGCTAACATCAGCATCCTAAATGCACGAGCAAAAACATGCCAGGTAACTTTTCGGGTGTTACTTCACTATCCTAAAACACAAGCTAACTTTGCTTTTCCAGCTTATCTTATCAAGTCTTAGTTGTTCTTCTGTTCTGCGACGGGGAGGCCCGATGGGAGCTACCAAGACAGACCCCTTTGCGGAGATCGTGTGTGTCGAAGCGCTCGCTCCGTGGCGCCGTGCCAATGTGTCTTTGTCGCCTGGAGCCTGGAAAGCTTAACTTTGAGTACAAAAGCCGTATGCGAAGTGTACTTTCGCAGCTGCAGCTTGACTAGCGAACCCTTAGCTGCAAAGTAGCGCTCGCAAACACGGCGTTTCTTGGCAAAGTCCATTCCGCAGCTGGAGTGAAGCGGGCAACGCCAGCAGATTGAACAACCTGCATGCTCAGCTGACGAGTTTCTTTTGTTTGTTTCTTATTGGGAGCGAAGCCGCGAAGTGCACTCCTACTTCCGCCTGTTGAGATAGAATGAAGTATGACTTCCTGCCCAAATAAGACTTTAATACACCTAATTTGACTAGAATTTCGATTTTGAAACCGAACTGAGCCCTTGGCGCTTCCAATTTCGATCGCCTGCAATCTTTATTTTGGAGATCTTAGTCCTTGACATGTTCAATTTTGGACTCCCTATGCCTCACAATTTGCCGCAGAGTCCTCCAACATGTCCAATGTCCAAAGTCCAAATATGATTTCCTTTCCAAGTTGGACTCTAATTCAATCTTTATGTTCGTTTAACAGTTTTCTTGATCTTCAGCAGATTTCAACTGGCTTTTGAACATATAATTTAAATACCAGTTCCCCCACATATGATTTAGATCAAGCTCGGTTAAGCTTTCAATGGGTTTTTACAAGAACACTCTTCAATTAGAATGTATAACCATAGATTAGACTGTGAATATGGCTTTCTGTCCAACAATGAGCTTAATGAAACTTCAATTAGGAGTGAACCATAATCCAACAAGGACGTAATTCAGTCAGACGTAATTCAATCAGAGTGTCCGTTGTGAACTCTCACTTAGATAGGTATTCCTTTCGATGTATTGCCGCTACGGTTGTTTGCCCATGGCCCTTTCGCAGCACAAACAACACATATTTTCTAGGACACATCACACAAAACACTTGCGGGGCCATGCTGTTTTGTCACGGCGGAACTTCAAATCCAACACGGGTTCTCTTTCTGATTCATAACGTGTGTAGTTCATTTGTCAACGATTGTTCAGAAGATTTGGGTCAGCAAAAACGCAAGAACACCACTGTTCTGTACGTTTTTTTTGATAGGCTTGAGGCACACCACGCAAGTATGTGAATACCGAAAGGTGGACAGGGGGGGCTATGGATATGGTGTATATATATATATACACATATACGTGGATACATTTGATAGGGTTAAACGGATCATAGTCTGTTCATCTGATGTGTAAGCACATATACGTTGATAGATGCGAGAGGTCGCCAAAGTAGCTCATGATACGCGGCGGAGTTATTCTAATCGTCGTTTCCTTTGTGCAAGGGCAAACGTAGTTGGGGCGAGATGTTTTGCAGAGCGAAACTCACCTCATATTTGAGCATGCAACAGGGAGTCAATCACGGTCAAGGCAGGGATCCATCCGGCTTGGGAATTTATGCTCTCCCTCCAACAATCATGGAAGACTAGGTACCCTTTCCACTTCCATCATTCTTGGAAAGAGGGTAGTTGTTTGTGCAGATTGATCATAGGAGTTTCAGTGATGAGTCATATGACCTTACCGCAAGCGGCAGGTGGATATTGTGGACATGAACGAGGAGGGACCCGAGATGCAAACTCTGTGAGTTGGCGGCTAAGTGCTAGGGGTGCTGCCGACGAGGGGTGCGGGTGAGATCGCTGCTTTGACAGGTCGCAGCTCATGTCCAGTATCAAAGGGTTAAGGCTGTTTGGACTGGCGCGAGCCATGTGCCCCTGACGCTTGTTTGGCTATTTCGGATGAGTGCTGGTGCTTTTTCCCCTTTTCTTGAGCTTTTTCATAAGGGCTGTTCCTAATTTGTTGAAGCAACCAGTTTCTGGTTCCCTTTAAAGGATGAAGCCAACATCTATGTTAAACATGTCTAACATGTGGGGTCTTCGGCCCCTGTTGTGCAGGAGCGCATCAGCCGTTGGAATTCTGACGACTTGCCCATCTACGAGCCTGGCCTGGGGGAGGTGGTAAAGGCACGCGTGGAATGTTGCTGGCGGATGTTTATCGGGTGCAGCTCGCTTTTTTGCATGGGACACTCACCAATCAACCAGGGTTGATGAATTTTGGGTGAAAAACCACCCCGACACCCCTGGGACGAACCCCCGCAGCCACCACAGAGCCTTTTGAGGCTGGGAAGCAAACCTCTTTGGGAGACTGGGAGCTTCCCTTTTGGCTGGGAGTGGGAACCCCCCAAACAGGACATCGCTTGAAGCCTGCAGAACTTGGTCCAACTTGACGAACCTGCGAGGCTGTGCCCATATACTGAACAACTTGTGACTCCATATCGGGGAACTGACCATGGTTTCCCAGAAGGCCGTACATGGTCAATTGGGCAACAAGCAAGCCAGGGTTCACAGGGTTTCATAGGTGGATGCATTCAGCCTATGCAGTTCTTGTGACGCGGTTCTTTACTCGACACCCGGAGTGCGCCGGAAGCCGCGCGCGAGGCCTGCAGGGGCAAGAACCTCTTCTTCTCCACCGACGTCAAGAAGGGCGTGGAGGACGCATCCGGATGTCGTGTGGATGTGGGTGCGCCTTTTTTTGCTGATGCCCTTTTTGGGGTTGACTAACAAAAGCAGCCAAATGGGAAGCCGGGGCCATTTTGGGGGTCCCCCCCCCAAAAAAAAACAACAACAACAAAAGACAACAAAAACAAGGGCCGTTTCACCCGCTGCCTGCGGCTTGTTCACCTCTTTGTCTTGATTTTTGGGGGGTGCCACCGGCCCGGAAGCCACGGCCAACGAATCGGACGAATTGCAGCAGCTCATCTTGCCATTGACTATGTCTTAGGCTCTTGTGACTTAGAAACAAGCGGCTTGTGGTCCTTTCAAGTTTCAGGACGAGCTTATTCAGCATGGTGTTGGATTCCTCTTGGGCGCGAGCCAAACTTGTCCCCCCCAAAGATGCCAAGAAGGCAACCTTGGCGAAGACACGTCGAACCTCTACGAGCGTTTTGTTTCAGTCAGTTGTTTTCCGGTTGTAGCTCTCGGGTTGGTTCATGTTCACGACCTAGAGTTCAGACTGGATCAAAGGAAGAGAAATGAATCCTGGTTGGTTCCAGTTACGCGACTTGTTGATTCCGCGAGCCTGGAGCACTTGAAACAAGGATCCGGAAAAGGGGTTTTAGCTCACCCTTTGATGAGTTGCAACCCCTTTTTGTCTCAACCCTCCAAAAGACAGACAACCGCCAAACAGGACCCACCTCCCAAACATGTGAATGTCTGCAGGATGGCAATGATTGAAACGTGGGCCCGATGATCCCAGCACAACAGTCAAACTGGTAAGGCAAACAAACACAGCTGGCGTGGTCGCGTAACCCAAACGGAGAAGCTTATTCTGATTCCAGGAAAGAATGGGAAGGCTCCACGCACATGGCACAGAGATCCGGGATGCTTCTTGGTACATAAGGTGAGTTTGACTCCGCCATAGACATTCACATCTTTGGAGGTATGTGTTGTCTTTGAGCGAACTGTAAGGTGCATTTGACACCATTCCTTTTGGTTTGACTCTTGTCTTTAGGGGGGTGCAGCCCAAGTACCCACAGGGCACCAAGCTTCCCTTTTCCTGAAGTGTTTTTCCACTTCCAAGGTGGACAGCTCGTTTTGAGGCGAGGAAACTCCCCCGCTGGGAAAGTGCTTTCGTGAATCTGAAAGGAAGCCCCGCGCCTTTTTCAAGGCCTCACATGTCCGGCGCCAGGAAGCAGACATCATTTTTGCCTCCGTGAACACGCCCACCAAGACCCAGGGCCCGGGGCCCAGCTCAAAGTTTGGACAGAGATCCCCCAAACATGGGTAGCAGGAATCTCCAGTTGGCCATCGGATGTCAACCAAGCACGCCCAACACGCACCCCAACCCCACCCAGTGCTCCAGCTGAGGCGTGGGCAAGGGCCGCGCCGCAGACCTGCGCTTCATCGAGAGCCGGGCGCAAAGAGAGCCGCGAGCCCTCGCTTGCGAACACGCGGAACCCGAGGGTTTGGTTTGGCTGGGCCTTCTCCAGCCCAGACAAAGACCAGGATGATGGGTTAACTTTTTGGAAGGCAACGACAAATTGATAACACGCGAGCGTTTGGGAAGCACGTTTCCGATACGTGACTTCCATAAGGAGGTCAGAATCGGCTCTGGTAAGCAGCGCGCATTTTGCGCAACAAGTGGGCAAACTCTTCAGAAGCATCATGCAGCATGTTTCTCCACGAACCAGCAGAACAAGTGAGCCGTTGCACTTTTTGCAAGCATGCTGGGCATCTTGGGGACTGACAGCCTGGGGTCCCATGACGAAGGTTTCACTTCGACGGCACGCACTTTCCATGGTGGATGCCCTCTTTGAGTATATCGTTTTAGGGGTGCGCTCAGGTCAAGACACAGCCATTTGCTCTTTTGCGCCATTCGGGTTTTACACCAACACCATTCGGGTTTCGAACCACTAGCTTGTAAGGACCACTCTGCAAGACATGTTTTTTGCAGGCTTTTCTGAAGTCCGCGAATTTAGTGACTCTCACCAACTAAATACCCGAAATATGAGTTGCCTACCATAAACTGGACATATGTGTGCTGATCCAATGCACTCCCTATGAGGTTCTTGTACGGGCCCTGTATTTTGGTGAGTGTTGGAAGGAACACCCTCCAACCCATCCACCCTGGTGAGATGCTTAGATCTCTGGATTTGCCCCTGTTGAGTGGGGTCCAACCGGATTTGTTCTTTATAACTATCTCGGATTGAAGGGCGTACCTTTTTTTGAGGCTTGGGCTGGTGTTGGAAGGAAACCAAAAGAGAACCACCCATTCTGGGATTCCCTCTCTTGTTTCCATTCTACTGTTGGAAAGTAGTTTTGCCCCGAACAGTGCGCAGTCCAGGTCTTTTTTCGGAGTTCAGTTGCAAAACCACAGGTTGTTTTTTGCTTTTTACGAGTCGTCCCGGCGGCCTTTCACAGGTAGACCAAACGTGTCAAGGCCGCTTCGGCAAAAGGGCGGTCGAGAATGGGCCAGACCGCCTTTGACGTGGCCTCCCTTTGACATGTACCTAATTCATCTACTCTGGATGGACGAAAACCAGAAATTGCACCACCTAAAAACGCCTTGGAATGATTCGATTCCCGAATGGTAAACACCAACAAACGGTATGGTTTCAACCATGGTTCTAGGGGTACCTTCCATGTACATTCTTTGTAGGGATCCTTCTTTCCAGAGAACCTCCAGAAATTTTAGGGAAAACGGCAGGTTTTGGAAAAGAGCGATGAAAAGGACTGGAAAAGGAATCAACCTCTGGAATTCAGGGTGCATGTTTCCGGGGGGGAGGCCTGAAAAAGTCCGCCCGGCCAACAGAGCGCAGGTGTGGGCCGTACAATTGCGCAGTTCGCGAACCGCAGCAAGATCGCCCGGCGCCCCAGAACTTGAGGCATGCCAAGCGGTTGGTGGAATGCAGACAGGCTGCGAGTCGTGTAACCCGGTTCCTTCTTTGCGATCGTTGCTTGTGCATTCGGGAGTCGTGCAGATATGTTTCTTGTTTTAGGCGTTCTCGCCCGCCTCCTCGGTAAAGGTGGCTCCTGCTCAAAGGTTTTCCAATATGTCCGCTTGTTGCAGTCTTCCTGTGAGTCTCCCGTGGAAATCCCGTATTCCGATATGTCTTCTCATCGTCGTCCTGGAGACACGCAGTAAAATGAGGCCCGAAAGTGCTCAACTGGGTGGAAAAACGCACATGACCAGGGGTCAGATAAACCTGGCGCCCCTCTTTGATCCCCTTGTTTGCTTCCATATGTCTCTTGCGTGGCAATTCTTCCTTCCACGCGGCATTGACCGCTATCCCGTTCTACTAGAGTGGGATCCTCTTCAAAAAATGGAGGCTGTAAAAGGGCACGTCTGACATATCCGGTCCCTTTCCACACAGCTCCTCACAAGGTACCTCGGCCTTTTCACGGGCAACACCATTTTTTTGGGCCATGTCCAGGTGGACAACGTACGAGCCCAGCTCTTCAAGGCTTTCACCCACCAGCTTTTGAACTCAACGGACACCAGGTCCCTTCTGGAGGCCCTAATTCATCTGAGTTGTGCTTGCCATGTAGAACCCCCCCCCACCAACGTTTTGGCGGGAGGCTCTGCCATGTAGAACCCCCCCCCTTTGGAGGGAGGCTCGGGTGCAGTTGGGGTGGGGTTGGGTGGCGGGGGGGGGGGGTTAGCAATTGATTTTCTCCCATTCAGGTCATTGAGAAGTCCACCGTGCCCATCAAGACGGCGGAGGCGATGGGCAACTCAAACGGGACCCGTTTGGCTTGCTGGTGCGATAGCTAGGCAATGAGTAATGACTGTAATGACCGTTCCGGGTTTTGGAAATGAACCGGAAGGGGATTTCCTCAAAGGACACCATAAGGGTTTGTTTATGATTTATAAGGATTCCCTCGTTCCCTGCTCTGAGCACCAGCGTGGGTATGACATTGAAGTAGGGACACAGCGGACATGGGGATTTTTGTTCTGTTCGCCACGCATGTCTGAGGGAATTTCCGAACTCATGAAACTCATTACTGTAGTCTTTTCACTGAAGCCTGGGGAAAAGCAAAGGCCATCCGCTTGATCCAAAACGTTTCGACTCTTGCTGGGTGGGCTATGCGCTGGTGGACATGGAAATCTCCATGCGAGGTTCCGTCAAAATTACCGCTAGTGTATGGTGCATGTGGGATGGACATGTGGGATGGTCCTAGTTATTAGGACCGCGGCTCATGCATGCAATAGTTCTGTTCAGCAAAAGGCCCCCCGACTTAAAGATCACATGCCGACCTCTGTTGGTGTTGCAGAACCCCCCAAACCCTCCCCAACCCCCCCAAAACCTGGCGGGCAGGAATCGAATAACCATCGACCCTTGGACAGTCATTGCTAGACATGTGGCATGTGGCATTTGGAGCAAGGTTAACCTTATGCCTACCCTTACACCCGTGATTTTTGGCAGGTCCATTCAAAGCTTCTTTTTGGTGATTGGTGATGTTTTAGGTCGGACATCTCATTGGAACCCAGTCTTGAGGTCAGTCGAACCTTCAACCCTTGACTTGTTTGAGAATGCCGGGTGGCATACATTGAACCGATCCCCTGTTCTGCCCTCGGTGAGTGTCCTTGCGGAGTGGCTGAATCCAACGTGAGAGTCTTCCCAAGTAAGCGTTGTGGGAGGGTACCGGAAAGATCAGTTTCCTAGAGGGATCCTCTGGGTGCTATGTAGGAAGGGTGAGCAGACAGATTTCCGGGTTCTTTGGGCAGGTGTGCTTTGTATCCACAACGTGCGTTCAAACGCACCATCCTTCAGGACACCATTTGAGGTCTGAGGTTCCCAACGTTAGGAGGCCTGCGACCGTTTGGGGACTGATAGATCCGTGCAATTTCGATTTGGTTGCCAAACCCGTCACTCCCTTCTTTAGACTAGTTCACCACTTCAGGCGCAGTTCTGAGCTTGTGGAGGATTCCCGTCAAAACGGGAAAGTTCCCGGACAAGGCCCCCCCCTGCAGTTTTGGCCGCTTGCATGTGGATTTTGCTGCGGTTTGTGGTTGGGCTCCATGTTCCGCACCCCACAAATTCACCAGGCATGTTGGCCCCTTTTGGTTCACAAAGTTCGGGGCCCTTGAAGATGGAAAGGGAAAGCACGAGCAAGCCTGCGCAGTTTGTGACCTGGTCCCTCCAAGCATACCCCCCGAACCCAGACCTCTCCAAGCCCCCTCCCACCCAACGTGCGGAGGCCATTGCGCGGGTGTTGTCGGCCAATGAGGCCGAGATCGAAACGGACGTGTACCCACGGTTTCCTTTTTAGGAGGGTGTCGGATTGAAGGCCGAACGCCAAAATAGGTCTTAGCCATCTGCTGGAGCAAAATAAAAGCAAGGCCCCCTTCAACTGGGCCGGCCACAGTGCCGGAAAGCTGTCGGCAACTTTCTTTTGCGAGTCTTATGGGCATGTTAGGGGTATGGACCATGGAGCAAATATGCTACTTATATAAGGGGTGTGTACTGCCGGGCAAGCCTGTATTGCATGCACAAGCATCCACACCTCCAATACCTTCAACTACCGAACATGCCTTTGATAGGGCCTCGGGTGCCCAAAGGCAAGAAGCTCAGCAGTGCCCGAGCACCCAGGAAAAGCCGGCCCCTCACCTCGTCAAACCGAGGGTTGGCTAGGGGAGCCTATGCAGACGCCACCTGGTTCCGTTTTGCCAAAATGAATCCGGACCCCTACAAAAAGAAGGCGCAGCCGCCGTCCAATTAGTTCAGTAATCCTTCGTTCCTATTGAGACCCCCTTGACCCTCACATGGTAGCAGAAGAAGAAAGAAGAAGAAGGAGGAAGAAGAAAGAAGAATAAGGAGCAAGAAAGAAGAAGAAGAAGACAAGGAGGAGGAGGAGGAGGAAGAAGCAGAAGAAGAAGAAGAAGAAGAAGAAGAAGAAGAAGAAGAAGAAGAAGAAGAAGAAGAAGAAGAAGAAGAAGAACAAGAGGAAGACCTTCCAGCAAAAAGGACCGCCTGGAATTCCACTTCGGGGCATTTTGGGAAGCTTCAGACGCCAATGGGACCAACAAAAATGCCCAAGTCGACTCCGAAACTTGCGGCTCGTGTTCTCTGAGTCTTGGGCCACCAGCGTGGGGTTCGTCGGGACCCCCATGCAGTGAAAGAGGTGTGCCCGGATGGTTCTCAGTGACTCAGGTCCTTGTCACACTCATCCAACCCGCGGGTGAAAACGCTGGGACAGCGCTGGCTGTGCCATCTCTGTGCGATGTTCCTGCTATGAAGCATGTGAAACTGAAGTCAAAGCAGGGGGAGGGTCTTGCTTGCCATGAATGGGTCTTTTGTTGACCTTCACCTTCTATTATTGCTATTGCCTAGATACTCAAACCGAACATTGGCCAAGGGTTTCCTTTGGTTTCCCCCAAGGGCCGAATTCCGAGCCCGGGCCAGTGGAGCGAAATCCAGCGACTTCGAAGGCAGCGAGTGGCAGCAGGAAGAACTTCTGGATCCTCTCCAACCCGGAGCCCGGGCCCGAGTTGAAGTTGGGATCGGGTTTGGGTTTGGGGGGGTGGGGGGCTGGTGGGTGGGGCGGGGTGGCGGGTTGGGGGTGGGGTGGGGGTTTGGGGTGGGGTGGGGGGGTTGGTGGGGTGGGGGGGTTGAGTCCTCTTTCAAGTGATAGGGTAGTCATCGACTGGTGTAGGTGTTCAGATTGTCACTCACACTCACGTGGCGGAGACAAGTTTGTGCCAAGGGAGTCTTAGGGTGCTCAGCCACATTCACTCCTCCAGGTTGTTGCTCACAAGCTCCGCTACTCACGACTCACGACTCATTTGCACACATTTTTTTTTGTAGATTTCTATCTACTTTCAGCTCCTTGCTTCCGACTTGCCCTGTGATCTGCTGAAAAATGGTGCTGCTGGCGCTGCTCATGGTGAAGGTGAAGAGCCAAAGGGCTTCGAGATGCGTGGAGATGCCACACTTTCTGGCGTGCCTCTCTCTCCCCCCCTTTTTTTTTTTGGGGGGGGGAACCCGCGCGGAAGGCCGTTGTTCACGCGCGGGCACCTTTTTTGACACCACCTCAGTTTGTGTCAAAAGCACCTGAAAAGGAGGCTCCCTCCCCAAAAGCGAAGCGACCTTCGCTCTGTTTGGAGTGCCCCATGTCCACAAATGCGGGGGCAACCCCAAGAAAACATGCTCAGTTCGGCCCTTACCCGTTTTAGCATCATGCTCCAGGCTTTCCGGTTTGCGGCCGTGCCCGACTTTGATCACCCCATACTTCCAATTGCTTGCATCCCTTTTATTTCCCATTGGTGGTCATGAAAAATGGCCCCAACTGGCAAGTATCGCGCGCTTTCAGTTGCACCTTTCGCGAATGATCCATGACCTGGCTTTAGCAAACAAAAGTAAAACAAGCGAGGGAAAGTGGCGAACCGAAATGCACCGGACCATCCAACCTGAAAAGTGCCTGGAGCCCAACGCCTCCTCACTGATTTTCGCGGGGGGGGGGGGGGTTGACCCCTGCTAAACAACTCAATGCGCCGCCCACTTTGTTGTAGTTCAGGGGGGTCTCCCTGCAAAAATAGAATGCTGAAGCCGCTGATCTGACAAGTGCCCCCCCGCACAAAAGGCTTATCAGGAAAGGCAGAAGCTTTGTTTGGATGTATTTGCTGACCTTCGAGGACCCCCCCCCAGTAAAACCCTGGACTAACCCTAGTAAAAACCCCATTGGTTCAAAACGAATCCATTCAGCCCTCCCTTTTCCAAACGCCTGGGGGATCTAAAGGAGTCCAGCTAGCCCTGGTCTAAACGAGTCCACGAGTCCATGGTTCAGGTTCCTAGCGGAGGGCACTGCCATGGCAGACCTGGACCAGCCGGACCGCGTGCTCATCGGCGGCCAGGATCAGGACCTGCCCGAAACCCGAAGCGGCGAAGCGGATGGTCGGCGGCCGCTTTGGGCCACTCCAACGGAGTCGATTTCTGGGCTTTGGGCGGGGCGTTTTTTTTTTCTTCGGGGGGGGGGGGGGACGGTACTCCACCTTCACTTTGATCGACTTGCCTTGGCCAGTCCTTCTGGAACCGGCGCTCCCCCCAGGTTGCCTTCGCGCGAAAGGTTCTTGTCTTCTTGGAAAGGGTGGGCCAAAGGTCAGGGAAACCGTGTCTCTCCTTTGTCGGCTCATCAGGATGCCATCGGGGTCTTGGTGGACATCTACGCAAATTGGGTCAGCCGCTGAGGGACTCGCTCGAAACCCCTGCCGGGTCTGCACGCCGGGTCTGCCGGTCACGGGTGGACCCCTGAGAAGCAAAGGTTGCCATTGAGTCCGCGAACCAAAAGTCCCATGCTGATTTAACGCCATGAGGGAGTAGGGGGCATGAGGAACCACGGGTCGTGTCCGGACATTTTTTCCTCAATTAGCCTACGGCTTGGAGGTTGTCAGATGGGGCCGTTAAGCCAGCCAACAGAAAATTCAGATGTTTTTTGAACACTTCCAGTCTAAGGGTGTTCATACTTGTGGAAAATTGGATTCAAGTTATATACTGCCTTCTGTCATATCAAGATAAGGCCTTTTGTAGCAATAGAGAGGGATGAGACCCCCACGTTGATACCAGTGTTGCCGGTTGCATCGGAAAAAGGTATGGTTGACTTCCAGATTCCATGTCAAGAACCAGCCAGCTGGCCAACTTCCTTGTCTTTGACCATGCTTGTTCCTCCCTCTTCTTTTTTAGTAAGACGGAGCAGGCTCAAACAATACGGTCAACCTGCCACATTCCATGCGCTTGAAGATTCTCCCCTTTTCCCCATCGCGGATGTTGTTTTTTTGATTCTAGCGCCAACAATAATCAGTTTGAGCACGTGAAAACGGGGTTTGAAAGGGGGTTTGGCGCCGTTGGATTAGTTGGTCTACAGCCAGGGCAACCTCTGCTTGGTTTCCCACAAGTGCCCCAGTCTGTTCATTTTGACCACTGTTGTTTCCTCCGGGCTCACCAGAGCTTTTCCCGACCCCTTCTCCCCCCCACCCCTTCTCCCCCCTTCCCCCTCCCCCACCCCTTTCCCCCCCTTCTGCCACCCCTTCTCCCACCCCTTCCCCCCCCTTCTCCCACCCCTTCTCCCACCCCTTCCTTGCCGTTCTCCACCCCTTCCCCCTCCCCCACCCCTTCCCCCCCCTTCTGCCACCCCTTCTCCCACCCCTTCCCCCCCCTTCTCCCACCCCTTCTCCCACCCCTTCCCCCCCGTTCTCCCACCCCTTCCCCCCCTCACTCCTTCCCCAAACATCCGCAGCCGGAACCACCGGGCGCGAGGTGCCCAGGGAGAGGATCCTCTGCACCAACCTCTGGAGCTCCGAGCTTTCCAAGCTGGTGGCCAACGCCTGGGGGCCCCGGGCGAACCGACGAGCCGAGGGGGAGGGGAGCGACCTCCGTCGCCGTAGGGGGCGGTTTGGGTCGCTCTAGGCAACGCGGAGCGGAGCACGCGGCGCGGCAACTGCGGTGCGACTTTTTCCAATGGATCGGCTTCTTGCTTTTTGGCTGGGTGGGTGGGTGGGTTGGTGGGTGGGTAGCTTTTTTGGTTGGTGGGTGGGTGGTTTAGCGGGGACTTGAGTGGATGTTCGCCCATGAGAAGCCCAGGGACCGTTACCAATGCATGTTTTTATAGACTCGGTTTTTCTCTATATGATGCGGTGTGCTTGACTCTCACGTCTATCAAATCGGAGGATCATTAAGCCCGGGTTGCCGTTAGAAGCACCATGAACAAGGTACACCCTGGTTGGCTGACACAGTTAACCTCAATTAGGCCCAGACAGTTTTGGCCCATGCTCATTTCTGATGTTTCATTGATGTTTGATTTACCCAATGTGAATCAAAGCAACCAAACAGTGGGGTGTCTGGCTCAAATATGCATATATATATATATATATATATATGAGCCACGGACAAAACACACGAAGACCACTTTATCAAGGCGGGGTACTTTTTTGCATAAAACATGCCAAAACCATGGAAAACGATAAGGTCTCCCCCAAAAACGATAACCCTTAACTAACACACGGCTCTTTAATATCCCCTGCAGTTGCAACTTAGTTAGGGTGGGACCCTGGAGTGGCCACCGTAAGCTGCCAAGGTGTGCTTCGTAAATACCACACTTGTACTGAGAAGTTTGCGATTTTTGAGCTGGAGCTGCGATAGTGTACTTCGCGTTTTAGACTTGCACGACAAAGTTGTGATTTTTGAGCTGGAGATGCGGAAGTGTACTTCGCGTACTAGACTTGTACTACACAGTTGCGATTTTGGAGCTGGAGATTCGGAAGTGTACTTCGCGTACTAGGCTTGTACTACAAAGTTGCGATTTTCGAGCTGGAGATGCGAAAGTGCACTTTGCGTGCTAGACTTGTACTACAAAGTTGCGATTTTCGAGCTGGAGCTGCGGAAGTGTACTTCGCGTACTAGACTTGTATTATACAAAGTTTCGATTTTCGAGCTGGAGCTGCAGAAGTGTACTTCGCGTACTAGACTTGTACTACAAAGTTGCGATTTTCGAGCTGGAGATGCGAAAGTGCACTTTGCGTGCTAGACTTGTACTACAAAGTTGCGATTTTCGAGCTGGAGCTGCGGAAGTGTACTTCGCGTACTAGACGTATTATACAAAGTTTCGATTTTCGAGCTGGAGCTGCAGAAGTGTACTTCGCGTACTAGACTTGTATTGTACATATGTGCGTGTATCCGGGTTTGTGGGGTAGTTATGTGCGATGCCGCCAAAGCCGTCACCATTGACTGATTTGCCTATATCGCCCTGGGCAGATATGGATTTGATTCCACGATATCCTCTAATTTTGGTCCCCCCGCGAAGGCCGGGCGCGTTCGGTGAGGCCTTCCTCGCCCAGCGGGTCAGCAGCATCAACTCCATCTCCAGGCGCGGCGATGGACCGAGGAGTCGCCTGGGTCCATGTGAAGATAGCCACCAAGAATGCCGGGGTCAGTTTTTTTTTTCTTCTTCTTTTTTTTGTTGGGGGTGTTATCAAAGTAAAACGAACTGGGGTGGGGGTTCCCTTCAACCTAGAAATGGGGCATTTGGGTATGGGTCAAAATTCATCCACCGGGAATCGGACCGCAGGTTTTAGTCCTGTTTTCCATTTACCAGGGCAAGCCATTGTGGGCACCTATTTTTCACCCACAGCCATTTAAGCTTAGGAGCCAACAAGAAAACGGGGTCATGATCTCGACGGTTTCTGGGGGTGATCAAAGTCAGAAACTGGGGTGGGGGTTCCCTTCAAAAGCAGAGAATCATGGGGCTAGAAACAAGAAGGATCTCCTGTAGAACTTCCCTCTTGGCTGTTTTTTTTTGGATTTGCTCAGGTTCAACACCCTCCAAGTAGCTGCTTGGGGCCCCTTTAAACTGATAAAGGCGCCCAATCTGCAGTCTGGCCAGTGGGAACCTCGGCGTTTTCGAGTGTTGGGTGCTTTCTGGGTATCTTGCTTTAAGGGGGGTGTCCCTAGGTAGATGATGATTGTACTTAAAGACGCAGATTTCTCTTCTCGCTGTTGCGTGCCTGCTGCATTCTAGTTTCCCCTGTTCAAAGCATTCAAAACGGGGAGCAGTTGCCCCCTGTTTTCCTAGTTGGACGGCAAGTGAACATAGAATTCTTTGTGGAGCTCAAGCTCCGCGATTTGCGAAGTTTCCTCTGAAGGTTTGCATATTTTTTCCCCCCCCCCCCCCCCCCCCCAAGCTCACGGCATGGACCCGCGGCTGTGACCTTTCGAGGCTCTGCGAGCGCACGGGGGCGGATGTGAAGGAGGTGCTGCGGCCTCAGCTGACGCACGGCTGGCATGGCCGAGGGACAGAAGCCAAACGCGCTAGACTCATGGGAGGTTGGGTTCAGGGTTTACCTTTTGGAACCCACTGCGCTGTATGCACTCAACTTTTTGTGGGGCCAAGGGAATCCTGGGATTTAGGGTGTGGCTGGATGTGGTTGTTTACTTGCTTGATATTAAGTTGGAATCCACCTTGGCGCCTTCAAAACAAGCATAAGGGAAACCAAAGAATATGCCAAATGTCCCTGGCCTCAAGTCTTATCTTAGGCTTATCCAGCCATGGACATTGCGCCATAGATGTTGTGAGCCTTCACCAGGAAGCAGCAAGTCCCCCAACGGTCCAAGAATCCAAATATCTACGGGTACCTTCCCATTCTTCCAAGAAGGGATCCTTCTTTCTAGAGAACCTCAAGAAACCCGGTGAAAACGACTGGTTTTTGAAAAGAATGGGGAATCAACCCCCAGAAAATAGGCCTGCCCCAAGCGCTAGTCTGGCCTTCGTGTTGGAAGTCTGCCTTGATGGCACCTGTTGTTGGGGTTGCCTGGAAGGGAGACCATGCCCCAAAATGAGGTTCCCCTATTTTGAGACGCACATCCAAATCCGGATGTTGAACCCAACACATTCCGTGTTTCCGACGAAGGACTTGCAACAAGTCACCAGGTAGATGATTCAAACATCACCTTTCGATTGCACGTTTCAAGTGAGCATCCTTTAGTGGCGCGATGTTTAAAGGGACATCTAAGGATATGGGTTTCGGCATCCTGGTAGGCCAGATTCCCTGAAAACTGGTTGGCCCCCTTGTGAAAATGCGTGTCCCCAAATCGGGTGTACCGATTTTTCACGCGGTGAGGGACCTTGGTGCTGGCATTGGATCGGATTTCTCAACGCGAGCCACTGTGGACGGGGTTACTGTGGTGAGGTTTTTCTCTGGTGAGGTCGGCATAGGACTCGCAACGTTCCGTTGGCCGATTCGGTCAATTCTCCCGTTTGGGAGAGGCATGAGATCCCAAATTTCTACCAGGGGACTCACCTGTTGGGCATGTGGGGCCGCCTGCACATTTTTTCCAAGGAGAAAACCAATGCTTCTCAGGGCGCAGCTCCTTTGATGTTTTTCGAACCCATTTGAACCACTAGACTCCTTGTCTATCTTGAATTGGGATCCTCAACCGCCACTAGCGCCCTGAAACGAGTTCCTTCTGCTAGTATGCCGCATATTTTTGACCCCAGGTCCCGCGCTGTTGGCGCAGATACGCGCATTGGGCCCGGAACCTCTGCTGGGACCCTTCCGATATCGAACCTCTGCCGGCTCGCGGCAGTGTTTTCTCTTTTTTGAGAGCGATGCGTCAAAGGAAAGCGCGAAACTGTAACATTTGACCCCGAGGCGTGAAATCATCCAAGCCCTGACAGGATCATCCATCCCCTATAGCCCCGAAAGCGTGGAACCCTCCCTGGCGCCTTCCTGAAGTGCAAAATCACCCGCGTCAAGTCCGTTCAACACCTTTTAAGGCTTATTGGGCAACCCCAGCCGAAAACGAGTTGGCGGACAGCCTGTGTCTTTTGTGTGTGGTTTAGATTGATCTCTGTGAACTGACAAAGTGCTTGGTAGTCTCTTGCCTGTAAGTTTGGGCACTTGTTGCTCCAGTCCTCGTTGACAACCAAGAGCCCCCCCCCCCATATTCCTGGGTCTTGCTGGGGAATAATATTGAGTTCCCCTTGAAGGACCCACAAGTTGATGGACATCTTTCTGACTCCCAACTAACAACACATCAATCGCAGAATCCGAGACTCCAGAATCGTGTCTTTCTCTCAAACAAACAAAGGCAGAGTCCTGTGTACCCTCTCTCGGAAAACCGCTGATGATCTAGTATGATCCCCTAGTTTATTGGATGAGCCACCGGCTATGGCTGATTTTCAAGGCAAAAACGGTCCGAATTGGCCATGGGTTTTTACATGTATCCTTCTAGCATTGCCAGACGTGTCTCGCCATTTGGACATTTTGCTTTTTGTTTTTTTGAGGAAACCATGTTCTTTTTGAACTCAAAGAAGGGGAACTTCTCCAGTTAAGAAGTTAAGACTCCCTTGAACAATCTTGCCCAGAGTCTCGTTTCTTTTGACTTATCAACATGGGGTGACACCTAGAGGGGGGTGACGATTTAGGGACCCCCTCCAAACTGGCGGTTTTCCTTTTGGCTTCCCTCGAAAACTACAAATAAGGTACCCCGAAAACAAAACGACCCACAGGCACACACACACAGACACACACCCCAAGTTCAGACGTTAGGCTTGTCCGTCTGAGGCCCAAGTTCCTGAACGCCTCTGTGGGCTTTGGCGGCTCGTGCTTCCAGAAGGACGATGAGGGCTGGGCAAACGACTAACGGCGAGACGCTTTTCTTTCAGAAAGAGATGATGGACCAATGCTTGAAATACCCTCCCTCCAAACGTAGCACCTGGGAGGAAGATCCCAGGAGATGATCTTCCTGTTGGGGGTACCCTGTGTCAGTTGCCATGTTAGTGGGAGGGAGGGTATCCGAATTTTCAAGTTGGTGCTTCATATAAAGATAGCATCGTTCTCGCAAAAGAACTTTGTACAAGCAGCCGCTCCTACCCATGGAAATCATCGTCTTGAGTGCTACGTGACCTGCAAACGTTGGGTGTGTCTTGTTCTGTGTCTCTGCTCACATGACGTGTGTGCGACTTGGCTTGTTTGAGATGTTGGGGATGACCCCCCAGATCCACCTGAAGATTTCGGAGCAAGTCTCAGTATCGTTCCCAAGCAGGGATCACCCTATGTAGGGGTTGATTCCTTTTCCATTCTGTTCAACCATCGTTCTTTTCAAAAACCGATCGCTGTTTCCAACCTGGGGTTCTGATGGTTTCAGAAAAAAATCGGATCCCTGGAAAGAATGGACATGGACGTGTCCCCTAGATATGTTCTCACTTGCGAGTGGCTGTCACGTGGAACGTCCAAGAGTGCGTCTCACTCTCCTTCAGGGTGATGTGTTTTTTTCTTCTTCGGGTTTCGCATCTGGTCGGAACCCTGGAAAGGAAAACCTCAATGATACCGCGATCCTTCTCAGGCCATGCAATCTTGATGCCTTCGAACGTTAGACCCTGTGCCAGGGCGTTTGACCTCCTGTTGATTTGTTTTACATGGAATATTCACGACTATGGACCAGAAGCCAGTTTCCTCTTTTTGGCAACGTCGGAGGTAGGCTTGTTCTCAGGACATTTTGAACCTGGTTTACATCTGCCAGCAGTTCGGCTTGGAAGAGGAAGGTGCCTATTGGCAGCAGGCGTCCGGTTCCGGCTTTGAAGTCGAGAGGAGAGGTTCTTTGTCTGCGATTCCCTTACTCAGATGCCATCAAGATGGTATGGGTTCTGAAAGCACAGAGCACACAAAGGGTTGAAGCAAACGTGGTGGTAGAGAATTCCTTTTGGAAAGAACTCGCCGGGGCCTTCTGCAGGGCCTCGGGCCAATATGGCTCGCTCAGCCCAGCCCTGCAGATCTTTGCGTTCCGTGGTTGGGGGTGCAACATGCTTGGGATGTCTCGCAAGGTTGAGGGGTTCACGATGAAATTGCCGGAGCACAGGGCCGGGAGAAACAGGGAAATCTTGTGAATCACTTTGTGAATAGGATTCTGAGCCGCCCCAGTGAGTCATCCGGCAATTCACCTCCTCAATGTTTGTTCTAGTTCATCTCTGAACGCATTTGAGCAGCCAAGACTCTTTGCTGGAGCTCAACTTGCACTGCTCCTTGCTAGTTCTGCCGCACTGTGTTCGCGGAGAGGCCACATGTCGACCAAGTCTTTGCCCTCTTTGCCTTGTTCTTGATGGGGAGGTCTTTCCCTCGTTGAGTTTTTGTTGATGGGTTCCACAAAAACACCCGGCCTGTTCAAGGAAAGCCAAGTTTGTCAGCACCTCAGAGAGACCCTTGAGCGGTTTAGTGGGTTCCCCACAACAATGCTCACGCGATATTTAGGGTCCAACCTGTTTTCTACCAGTCTCACTGGACAACTGGGGCTAGGAGGTCAAAAAAAACAAACTGTTGGGACATGTTTCAACACACGAAGCTTCGTTTCTTTTGGGGGTCTGGATGTGAGACCGGGTTTCCGATGAACTGCCCAACTTACCCAACAGTTCTGGACCTTGTAAACTGAATAGACCACCTCTGTTTGACATAGACCCCCTTTTGCAGACAACCTGCTTCAGCGTGCCTCTAGCAGCTGCCTTAGCGTTTCCCAAAGGGTCATTGGGTTCCTTGCGTGACAATTTGCAGAGACCTGCTTGGAGTTGGGTCGACCTTTGTGGTGGATCTTACCCTGCTCCACGTGCTCCGAGTCCACATTGTTTTTTGGCAGGTTGTGGATATGAACGACCACCAGAAGGTCACCTTCACTAGTAAGATCATCCAGGCCGACAGCCGAGGAAGGGCTGAGAGAGCCCAGTTTTGACCTTCAAGAGCCGCCAGCCAGAGAGGGTCGAGCGGGCATGCACCATGCAAGCGAAGACCCTTTGAAAGGCCTCAACAGCAGTGTGGATGGCTCGTCTTTTGTTGGTGGTACCTTTTTTTGGGTTGGTTTAAAGGGACACCAAAGGGACACCACCTTTTTGGGGTCGGCCCCAGACACCCGTGTATTTTTACGCAAGCTTCACCAGGAAGGCTTCCTTCTGACTCATTTCCACAATGGCGTGGCTTCGAAATCTCAAGCGAAGCAAATTCCGCTCCAGCTTCAAAAGGGGGCCATCTTGGCTGTCTGTAAAAGTGGCACAAGCAGAAAACAAACTATTTTGCTGATGTCCCAGTCATTTGTTTGCAAATCATCTGATTTTCCGAGATTTGTATGAACCATCCAATGAACATCTAGGCTTGAAAGGCTGCAAGACAAGGTCCACACAAAACATCTGCCCCGGATAAGCTAAATCAAAGAAGTACCGCAGCCACCAATATTTGACACTTGAGGGCTTGGTGAGGCAAAGCTTCCATGCCCGAGTTTCGCTTGAGGCAAGTGGGATATTGGCCAAGTGCCCCAATTTGAGGATGCGGTTTCTGGATTGTTTCGAAGGGACGGATCCACTGGGGCTTCTCCTTGAGTGTTGGGGTGAGATGCGAGGAGAGGGGGGGGGGCGGTTGGGTCAACTAGGGCTCCTGGGCTCCAAATATTTGGGAAGCAACCTGCGGCGGAAGTGGCTTACATTTCGAGATTTGCCGACCCAGAGATTTGGGGTTCATTTTGTGAGTGCGATCCTTGGCGTACGGGAGGCTTAGATAGGCTTGCCTCCTTTTGGCTTCCCTTACGCCAACCCATTCAGCGAATGTGGGTCGCCCGGCGTTCGAAGGAGAACCTGCCGGTGTTGGGGAGACCCCCTGTCTGGCGTTGCGCCAACGTGGCTCGCAGAAATTCCTCCCATGTACAAGGAGAAAGGAGCCCTCTCTTGTTGCGCCCCTAACGGCAACATGGGTCGTTTGTTCTTTTTCCAGGTGCTTGTTCCCTTGAATGACCAGAGAGGTTCGCCTTGGGCGTGCAGGCCTTGTTCAACACTGTCACGAAGAAGAAGATCGCTGTGGCAACCTAAGCACTGCAGCCCTGAGAAGTAACGCAGTGGTTTAGAATGGGAACCCGGTGGATTTTTCACCTCTGGTTGGTCAACTAGGGGGATGTCCCATTTAAGGCGAAATGCACCCTCATGAGTCCACCATGAGGTTTCTGCGGTGAACATTATTCGGTTTTCGTCGTTTAGCTTGTGTGCGCAGAAGAATGGTCCGGAATTGCCATACAAAGAGCGGGGATGTTTGGCTCGCTCATGGTCATTGGACTGTAACGGCTAGATTCTTCCTTTGGCTTTGGTCATGCTGAAATGCTTGGGTGGGATTTTCCTTTTCTCCTCATGTCTTGGAAGCCCTTCCTGGCCCCTTTGTCTCAGCTACAGTTTTCCCACATTCCACAAGCTCGGCTTCTTGGAAACTTGCGATTTACTGTCGACCAAGAAGTGCGGGTTGGAGGTATGCGTCTCCCATGCGGTAACGGATGTCGCTGGAAGGATCTCCTCGGGATTTCAGGTGAGCAACCATCAAAACCCGGGTAGATGAAGGTTAGTAAGGGACAATCCCAACTATAAATAGCTGCGGCCGACTTCTTAATTCTTTACATGGTTCTGGGTAGACCATTTTAATACCGGGTTTTGATTAGGACTCAGGTGAGGTGCTTCCGCTGCATGGCGAGCCATCAGGGGATGGTTACATTTGGCATGTTTTTTGGTTCTTCAGCTCCCACATGTGCGTCTCCTTCGGGAACCACCCCTTTATGGTGGGGGCTAACCAGTGTTTTCCATTACCAGGCAAACTGTGTGCCTGATGTGACCGAGACAAAGGATACCTCGGCCCTTCCGCCTTTACTGGCTGCACCTCCCATCAGTGGGAAGTATCCCAGTAAAAAAAATAATTTTGACGGAACGAGGGAATATTTCGTACCGAATGGGAAGCAACCCTGCGCAGATTCCGTTGGGAGGCGTCTTGCGGACCCAGACGGCTCCCGAGGGCAGATCTTTGCCGAAAGATCTGCCCCGCGATCTCCATGGGGGGGGGGGGGTACCTTCCACGACAAGATTTTAAGGACAGCGGCAAAAGAAAAACTACCAACCGTTGCAGGTCTTTGGCTTTGCCTTCAAGAAGGACACCGGGGATGTGCGAGAGACCCCGGCTTTGTTGGTGTCCGGGTCCCCAGGGCGCATGAGTCATGCCAAAGGGGGGTGGAGGATGGGAAGGATGCAGGGGCCTTTGAATTTGGGAGCTCGACCTTTGCGGAAAATAAAATAAACACAAAATCAAAAACAAGGTGTTCATGGAAACCGAGTGCAGCAATTTGCGGGTGACGCGTGGAGATTTAGGCCAAAGTGCAAGTTCTCGACTGTGCACATGCAGCTGACAATCAGCACCAACACAGTTGCAACACTCTAGTTGATCTTAACGTAGGGAACCCCCTTAAATGGATGGTTTCCTTCTGGTTTCCTTTGAAACCAAGCAAAGGGGGCCCCCTCAAAAAAAGGACATCCACTTTGGCAGCCTAGGGAAGTGCAAAAATGAAGTGGGAAGGACAGCGTTCCGAGGGCTTTGGTGTGCTCCCTCATATCGACCCTGGCTCCCCTACTGAATCATTCTAAAATGGGCAGCCCCCAATCAAATTCAGCCTGAGGTTCAACCCTCGCTCACTTGTTGGGAAATAGCTACGGCCCTAGGTGCAAGTGAGGCTGGATTCAGCTGGAAACTCTTTAGGGACTCACGCGAGGTGTGACATGTTGATGAAGGACGGCGCCATCGTCCACGTCTACGACCCCAAGGCCTCCCTTTTCCTTCAAAGTTGTGGTGTCTTTGCTTGGTGGCTGGGTCAAACAAACAGCCCCAAAGTCTTGAAGAACTGACACTTGAATCAGGGTCCAGGCTCGTTGTGCCGCCAACACGGAATTTGTTCCTTCTACATTTGTTGTATTGTTTACTTGAAGGTGTTGGTACAGACTAAGAATTCAGAAGAAATGCAGGGTGTTACGTTTCTTGGTCGCACTCAGACGAACTAACCCGTGCCAGTTTAGATTTCCTCTTGCGGTTTAAAGTTCAAACATTACCTCTTGGTTGCAAAAGTTGAACGTGAGTTTCCTTTCGGCTTACGAGCCCCACATGTGAGCCTTTCAAATCCTTTAGGCATTCTGAACATGATGTGGGAGTTGGCCGGCCGGGTTTGGGGATTTGTGAAGTGAATTATCTAGGGTGTTAGGTTTTTTGGTCATTCTTTGGCACCGAACTTGCCCTTGTCTTTCTTAATATGACGGTTCCGCCCAAAGCCCCCAAGCAAACTCTCGACCTTTTGCAGCTCAAAGACCCCCGGCACGGGGGGAACACCTTTCAACGGAGATGTTGAACGGGAAATTCAGTTTGAACTCTGCGGCTCAGGCCCCGAACATGCCCAGAGAATCAGATTCATTCCTTTGGGCTTCTTTGCGCTCATTAAAACCCACCTGCTAGGTTTCTTTCGAGGCACCGACTTTTGGGGACCCTTCTTTGGGGGAAACCCCACGTCAGGGAAGCAGCTTCTGGCGCTTCGGGCGATCCTTTGAGCATGGGGTCAAGGGCGACTTGTGCGCGTGGGAAGGGCTGAAGGGCTGAAGGGCTGTTCTTTTCGGAGGAAATCCAGCATGGGCTTCTTCCATTTCCTGAAAGGAGTACTTGTTTTTCCCCCTGTTGGTTGTAAGGGGAATCTATCACTACTGGACTTGTTTTTGCCAGGGACACTCAAGCAAATGGAAGCTTGGGGGAATGCTCTTTCTCACACATCCACCTCTAGCTACGCACCCAAGATTTGGGTGAATGACAGCGAGCTCACAAGAGCCACAATCAAAACCCGGGTAGATGAAGGTTACTAAGGGACAATCCCAACCATAAATAGCTGCGGCCGCCTTCTTAATTCTTGAAGCATGGTTCTGGGATTACGACCATCTTGATGCCCGGGTTTTGATTATGGCTCAGGGGATGTGTTTCATGAAGGCTTCCTTCGTGGGCTTTTGAAGTGAAGTTCTCCGAGCTCCAAGCGTGTTGAATTCCTGGATTCGGAAACTCGGTAGACTCCTTTACCAGGTTTTGGGTGCGACCAAGTAGAAGTGAATCACAAGGCTTGCTTTCTTGCTCACAGGGCAACTTGGGGCTTGCGACTCCAGCTCAGCCGCTAGTTTCCCGGTGATTTGTTCTCAAACAACTTGTTTGGGGCGGGTTGCCCAGCGAAATGACTTGGCAAGTCGATGTTTCGGCCCGTTGCCATGTGTTGGAAATTGGACCATCCTCTTGGTTTGCGCTCCGCTTTCCAACTTGAGGGAAGCCATCAGCAAAATTCACCGCGCGAGTTCAAGATCTGGCCGTTGCCGGGGAGCGTTCGCGCCCGCGCTCGCGCCGCCAGGTGGCCATCGAGGATGCCCTGCAGGAGTTCAAGTATCACGACCTGGAGGCTCCCAAAGAGAGAGATGGAGTTGGGAAGTCTGGGCTAGGGGAAAGGGCAGATCCAAATATGATGAGCAGTCATAGACGAAGGGCAGAGGGGACATTCGCGCCAACCAGACATGGGCTATGGGTTCTTGGGTAGACCCATGCAATATTTCGATTGCGGCTCAAGTGCATCTCGCAACGCACGGCTCCCCACTGATTCATTTGAATTAAATTGGCCTGGCATGACATGACAGGATGGGCTTGAAGCCATTATAAAACGGACGAAAGAAGCGACCGTTCCAAAAGTACGGGTTTGTTCAAACGCCAGGCCAAACTATCACGCTGACACCCATTTCTAGATCCCTTTGCCATGCAAGCACCAGGATTTTGCTCAATAACGACCTTTGACAAACAAATGGTTGCCCCCCTTTTCAGGTTTTCTCGAGGACAGGGCCTGAATCGGGGTTGTGGGTTCGCGTGCCATGAATTAGATAGTTTCCCACAGCAGTCGGTGGCGCGCCCACTAACCCAGAAACTACGTTGCTGGGGGTTCATGTAGAGGATTGTCTCAAGATTTTAGGTCCAGTTGGTTTCCTTTTAGAAACCGTTATGGGGTAGTTGCCAGCAACACAGAGGAGTTGCCTCTCGTGCCTTTTGGGTTCTCCTTCATTTTTCCTTTCCAGAAGCAAGTTGCCTTGCGGGTTGGAGCCTGGGCTGCGCGGCTCAGGTGAACCAGAGTCAGTTCATCTTCAGCACGAGTGCAGAGGAGGCCGCGCGCAGCTCGGGCAAGGGCGAGGAGGAAGGAGCATGAGTTGGATGCTACGGGTGTGTTTGTTGGGAGAGGTATGACGACAAAGGGGGGAATCAAGCCTGAAATCAAAGGATCACCCAACGGAGGTTGTTTAGTCTTCGCACGTCCGAATTGCCCCTTCGCTTTTTGGGAAATCACGGAATTTTCTGAAAGGGGAAATTATCCAGAAGGGATTCCCACATTCCCCCTAGATGGTTTCAAGCATCTTCGCATAGGCTCCTTCAAAGTGAGTTCCCTTTTGGCGTGGAGATGTTTAAATGGCACATATCCGAACCCTGTCCAGGCCGTCGGCCTTGCCAATAGGCACAAAGAGGTGGTGCTTCACTTTGGTTGTGTTGTGTTGTGTTGTGTTGTGTTGTGTTGTTTGTTTGTTTGTTTGTTTGTTTGTTTTTGTTTGTTTGTTTGTTTGTTTGTTTGTTTGTGTTTGTGTGATGGTGGTGGTTTTTGTTTGTTTTGGTTTTGACACTTAAGAGAACCCATCTATTTGAACAATTGAGACCAATCCACGTTCGCAGCTCGATTCGGAAACTGGATGTGAAGGTGATTTTAGCCGCTTACCATGTTCCAGCAGTACTTGCCCCCGTTCGAGGAATCTTCGCAGTAGCTGTTTCATTGTCTGTCCATTCGGCACCAAGCATTTTTTTGCTCATATTTCGTGAGAAGAACCTTCAAGACAACTAAATGCAGTCTGTTTCAGGGCTGTATGACAGCTGGGCCAGGCATGCGACGGCGCCCATGCCATTGTGGTCCTTACAGAGTGGGACGAGTTCAAGAAGTGCGCCTCATCGCCCTCGGTGTGTGGAGCAGGACATTCATTGGCGGCCGCTTGCAAATCGCTTGAGACAACTCGATTTCCCCGCGCGATGCCTTAAACCATTGTGGTTGGAACTCAGCTCAGCGCTTCGGGTTCTTGCCGTTCGGGTTGCTTTTGTGGTTGGTTCCCAGCTCCCAGCCTTCTCCCTCGCGGGATTTTCCTGCGACAGTTGCCGCCCTTTGGGCATCGGATCGATCGCGGTCCGTTTTCCTTTGCTCGCCCGATTTGGGTTGTCTCAGAAAATTGAATCTCAAAGGCAAACGTTTGGCCTCTGATAGCCATGACCCTGTGTGATTTGGGGGGGGCCTGTCTTGTGTTCTTGTTCACGGTGTAGCGCATTGTGGTACATGTTGCGATTACTCATATCTTTATGTTCCAAACCAATTTCTTCACCTATATCGGAGGCAGTCATGGGACTGTCATAGATTTCATGGTGACGTGAAATCATCTACAAAACAGACCCCAAAGACTAGCTCCTAAATGGGAGATATCAGAATGCTTCACCTTGAGTTGGTCGTGTTGCTTACTTCCGAGCGAGCCGCAGTTTCCAGGCACTCGTCAACGGCCCAAAGGTACGACTATGCTTGTGTCAATAAAAGCTTTCAAAGGAAGCCAAAGAAAAGCAAAGTGTTGGCTTACAACAAGACGTTGTGTTTTAGTAAAACTCAACGTGAGTGTGTGTGGGTCAAAATTAAAGCACCAGGGGACCGCAGGTTTTAGTTCTTGGTTCCATTTACCAGGATTCCAAAATGGATACCCATTTTTGATCCACTGCCAAGTCTTTATCAATCACACTGAAGATGTGCGCCGGGATTTTACGCTGCCCGTATTCTACCCTCGCAGGCGAAAAACAAAAGGTCGATTGGTTGGTACACAGACCGAGGAATGGAACAAGGCCATGCCTCGTGCAGAGGCATCAAAATCGATGAGCCTTAGCTTGCTGGTGCTCAGTAATGCGGGAACGAACCTGGGGGTCCCCTTAAAGGAAACCACAAACGATGGCTGCTGAACTCAAGTTGGAGCTCCAAATAAATTCTACCGTGATTTCGCGGAGTTTTGCGGTTGGATGTGGTTGATTCACTTAAGCAGAGCAGGAATCCACCGTAGCTTTGCCATGTTTTCAGGTATGACTATCAGAAGTTCTATTCGAAGATGATGAAGCGCGGGCCCTGAACAGGCGGTTTTTTCCGGAACCTACGTGGCTGGTCTGCTTTTTGTTTCCCTTATGAGTACGTAGGTTCCCTCAATTTCTCTGTGGGTGTGCGTCTTTTGTGCAGGAGGTCCCGCAAAATGATGGCTTTCCTTCGGGCTTCCCTTTCAAACCACCAAGAAAAGGGACTTACCCTCCACAAAAAGATACTCCCATACTGGAAACTCCGGGGGTCCCACCAATGTCCCACGGCCCTGGGCAACCGTGAGTTGCGCTGCTCGGCCTGTTGGTCAGCAGCTTGCTTTTCTCTTCTTGGCAGCGCATCGTTCTTGTTTTGGCAAGTGTTTTTTCCACTTTGCTTGGCAAAGGAAACGGAAAGGCGACACTTGTGAGGGCTCCGATTCCTTTTGGCAACATGCAGATTCATTGGATGGACTGTGAGCAAGACTTGTCGCAGATGTGCACATGCGTTTCCTGCGCTTGAAAAGGCAGGACGAACCATCACAGGATGGGTAGATGAACCGTAGTCGAGGTGCGGACATTTTTGTTGGCTTGGCACAGCTACGCTTTCTTACTTGCAAATTTGATTTACCTGATGCATCGATGTACGTTCCACGTACAACAGGTTTCTCTTGTTTGTTCCCTGTGCAAAAAGGCTGGTGGAGTTTGTCCGCGAGCTCCGTTGGTTTCTTCGGCGGGCTTTCAGTCGGTCGCACCGCACCGACCTTGCCACGGCACGCGGCAAACGAGGTCTGTTCCCCCTGCAAGAAACCCTTCTGTTTGCTGCCGTTTTTCTTGTCGGCTTCAAAGGAAACTGCCCATGGCAGGCAAAACATAAGTTGGCCAATCGGAACGAGCCCAGATGAGTCTTCCATCACGTGAGGCCAGCCTTCCTCTTCGATGGCCGGAACATGCTCGATCATGCAGGCGCGGGGAGAGAGCTGCGGGCGCCGAGAGAAGGTTTGGCCAAACCTGCGGGATTGGGAATTCCGACTAAGGTAAAACTCAAGGACTTCCCTCGAAACATTTCACCCAACTTGTTTCCATAGAGCCTGGGCCCGGAATGAAATGGCGGCTTCCTCCGCACTTCGCCCGGTCTTTGCCCTCGCAGCCTCAGGTGGCTGGGGCCGTCTTGAGCCAATTCGTGGTACAGAGTCTGAGGGTTTGCCTCGGGGACAAACATGGAGGGACAGGGCCCAACAAACTATGAGCATTCTATGGATCCGGCCGCTGCACTTGGTAAGACGACACAAGTTCCCGTTGGACCCCCTTCCTTCCCATGTCGACTCTATTTTCGCCCCGCGTCTTGTTTGGAGTCCCTCGTTTGTGAGGGACGACCTGCCCACACCCACGACAAGCATGTCGCCAGTCTTTTCGGGCGGCTGGGCGAACGGCGCCATGCGCCGCGCCGCGTCGAAATGGTTGTGGTTAAAAAAAAAGGTACCAAAATGGAACCCTGATAAGTGGAACCATGGACCAAAACCTGCGTAACCCCTCCTGTTTAATTTTGAGCCACACCCAAATATCTGCCGGCAGGCCTTGAGAAGATCGGCTTCGAGGTGCATGCGCTGGGCAAGGCGCCGGTTTGGAAAAAGCCGGAAAGCCGGCGGTCGGCGGTCTGGGAGCGGACAACTGCCCCAAAGAAAGCGTCTCGGCTTGTACCCGCCTTTTCTTTTTATTGGGTGTTCCCTTGTTGGTCGGCCATCTTCTACAGTTATAGCACCCCCGAATTTTGGAGAAGTTGGGGTGAACTCAGAGCAATTCAGCTGGTTTGCTCATGGATCGGGTCAGATACTCTGCTTTTGCTCGTTTAAAGGGGACCCTCATTTTGGCCAAACCCCCTTCTGGGAGCTCTTTTGACATCACGTACATTTGAAGCCCACGAAGCATGTTGCACAATGAAACATCCCATATTTTTTTTGGGGGGGAAAAGCCCACTTGTGGGTCAACATGAAATCACCAGGGACCCGCAGGTGTTCTTCCTTTCCGTTTACCATGGTAGTGTGGATGGACGAAATCCTGCACCACCTGGAAACGATGGGAAAGCATTAGAAACCATTGTTGGTTGGTATTTACAGAGTAATGTATCATTCCAACATTTCTTAGGTGCGATTTCTGGATTTCGTGCATCCACAGTATTCTTGACCCACCGTAAGGTGACTTCCCTGTTGAGCGGCTCTTGCTATGGCCAGGCCCGCGTGGCGACAGAACACCACCACCAGGACTTTGTGATGCGCGCGGGCAGCCGGGGAGCCAAATGGCCAGAGAATCCGCGCTTGAGCTGTTTGGGCAGGGGCCGAGTTTCGTGGGCCTTTGGGGAGTGAGGGGTAGTCAGCAATCTTCTTTCGAGGGGCCCTTTGTTTGTTTTCCTTTTTCAAGCGTCCGATTGTTTTTCATCGAGGGTCCTTTTTCAAAAACAACATGTGTCTTGCAAACGTTTGCATTGTTTTCAGGGATGTGATCTTAGCGGGAGTGGCTGAGTTCAAAAAAGATAGGCAACAGAGAAGCGAAGTTCTGAGAGCTTCAAACCAAGCTTTTCAGTCGCAAGGCTAAACTTTTCAGTCGCTTGGAACCCAAAGGTAGCCACACACATTTGAGAGCCAAAACAAAGGCCAAGATCGAACTTTCATCAGAGACACAATCGGACCCTACCCCCTTTCCCTGCCCCCGCCCCACAAAAGAAAAGAAGAATAAGAAGAAGCAGAAGAAGAAGAAGCAGAAGAAGAAGAAAAAGAAGAAGAAAAAGAAGAAGCAGAAGAAGAAGGAGCATAAGAAGAAGAAAAATAAGAAGAAGAAGAAGAAGAAGAAGAAGAAGAAGAAGAAGAAGAAGAAGAAGAAGAAGAAGAAGAAGAAGAAGAAGAAGAATAAGTAGAAGAAGAAGAAGCAGAAGAAGAAGTAGAAGAAGCAGAATAATAAGAATAAGAAGAAGCAGAAGAAGAAGCAGAAGAAGAAGCAGACGAAGAAGAAGAAGAAGAAGAAGAAGAAGAAGAAGAAGAAGAAGAAGAAGAAGAAGAATAAGAATAATAAGTAGAAGAAGAAGCAGAAGAAGAAGTAGAAGAAGCAGAAGAAGAAGAATAAGAAGAAGCAGAAGAAGAAGAAGCATAAGAAGAAGCAGACGAAGAAGAAGAAGAAGAAGCAGACGAAGAAGAAGAATAATAATAATCAGTAGAAGAAGAAGAAGCAGAAGAAGAAGTAGAAGAAGCAGAAGAAGAAGTAGAAGAAGCAGAAGAATAAGAATAAGAAGAAGCAGAAGAAGAAGCATAAGAAGAAGCAGACGAAGAAGAAGAAGAAGAAGAAGTAGAAGAAGAAGAAGCAGAAGAAGAAGTAGAAGAAGCAGAAGAAGAAGAATAAGAATAAGAAGAAGAAGAAGAAGCATAAGAAGAAGCAGACGACGAAGAAGAAGAAGCAGACGAAGAATAATAATAATAATAATCAGTAGAAGAAGAAGCAGAAGAAGAAGTAGAAGAAGCAGAAGAAGAAGAAGCAGAAGAAGAAGAAGAAGCAGAAGAAGAAGAAGAAGCAGAAGAAGAAGAAGAAGCATAAGAATAATAATAATAAGAAACAGAAGAAGAAGAAGCAGAAGAAGAGGAAGCAGAAGAAGAAGAAGAAGCAGAAGAAGAAGAAGAAGAAGCAGAAGATGAACAAGTAGCCTTTCCTACAAAGGACTTGAATTTCGTCATCTTTCTTCGAGCTCACCGATCCGGGGGCACGAGCGATTCCATGATGGTCCTCTGGAGATCTTGTGTCCACTTGGTGAATTCCAGTAATCTGTGCAGAAGGGGTATTATATCGGGAAAAGGTTGTAGCTTGCCCAGGATTGACAGATTCACCCTTCGATCCACTTGGTCCGTGGGTTGGTTGGGTTAAATGGAGCTGCATTTTGCAGTTGGATTCCAGCCTACGCGACTTATGCGCAGACCGGAATGAAGGGGTTCAGATTCCAACGCGCCATCGCTAGTTTCCTCCACTTAAGCGACTGCGGCATCTGAATGGTGTTGGTGAGCTGGATCCGAGCGGCCCATTCGGATCCCTGCGAAGAATTTCCATTGTGACCAAGCCGGGGCTTAAGTTGTGCCATGTTGACTTGCAACAACTTCGCAACTCCAGTGCTTCTACTGTGCCAAATTGTTATTGCAATGGCTGCAGCTCGACCCCTGACCGCATTCTTTGGACCAGATGTCCTTTGGTTAGGTGGAGATGCCCCCTCATGGGAGGGGGAAGCACACATCAACCAATCGTGAGGATCCGTTCTCGTGTGCCAAGTCTAATAGTGACCTCTGCTTGTGTTTTCTCCTTCGTCTCCTTGCAGGGCTTCAAGTCTTCGCTCTTCAGACCTCAGCACTTGGAAAGGCCCATCCAAAGAGAGTTTTCTCACACGGGAACCCAGGATCAATGAAGCCCTGTGATTGTTTGATCGGGTAACCCAGTGGGGGAGCAGAATCATCCAACGAGGGCGATGAATGCGGGGTCAACCTAAATGTGGAGGGGCGTTCCTTTCTCAGAGGTGTTTTTGATGGTATCCTTTTGGGCTGGTGTTGAAGGGAAATCCAAGGAAGGCCACGATGTTTGGGCCTCTTCTTTTTTTTTGACACATACCCATTTCACAAAAATGATGCTTTCAGGTGGCTCATGCTTTCGTGAAAGCTAGCTTGCTGCTGCAGTCTGTCTTGCTTTAGCAAGTAATGAGGCCAGTGATTGCTACCATGCTGTGGTATATATATATATATATTTATCATGTACACAGGGACACCATGATTACATAATTTATATTTATTTATATATACATATATATATATATATTAATATTATATATTTTTTACATGTATTTATCATCTTTGCGCGCTGATCGTGGTCCATGAACTTGGGCTTCGGAAGGTTGCTTTCCCTGCACACGCACCTCAGAATTTCTCCGCACTTCTCCCCACTCCTCCCTCCGCTCTCCGTAGTCTTCGCTCCGCTCAAACTTATGCGCTCTGTGTTGCAATCTGTCCTGTGTTTTGCACGTTCCAAAAAGTAATACTTTTCAATCTCACCTAACCCTTAGCTGGTGGTTTGGATTGGTGGTTTGGGGATTTGAACCCCGGGCGCTTTTGAAGTAGATGGGAAACCCCAATCCAAACCGCCGAAGCTTTGGTAAGGAACCAGCTGGAGCAAGGGCGTTTCAAATGCTTTGGCCATGGCCCTTTGCTTCTCGTTAGGTTCTGTCAAGCTCTAAGGGTGCCCACGCTGCGCGAGGCAAACCCCTGGGCACAAGTTAGCTACATACCAAGGCGGCATCCTGGGCTGGGGCCCCAGAGCGAGTCGAACGAAACAAACCAGCGAGGTGCTGAGCAACGCTTGCGGATTGGCACGGCCCGTTTTTCAAGGATTTGGTTTGGAGACTTGGTGTCATCCCAGGTAGCACTTGAGTCATAATCAAAACCTGGAATTAAAATGGTCTACCCAGAACCATGTAAAGAATTAAGAAGGCGGCCGCACCTATCCATGGTCGGGATTGTCCCTTACTAACCTTCATCTACCTGGGTTTTGATTGCGGCTCACTTGAGTGGGCACACAGGCTGATGGGAAATCTTGAACCTTCAAAGATCAGATTAGTCTTGGTGGTGCCAGAACGAACAGACGAGCTCTTTTGTCGTCGACACCCAGCCGCCTCTCACAAGCCAACGCAATGGTGCTGGAACTTCCCGACACAAACTCTGAACCGCCTGCGTTGAGGTCCGAGACAAAAACATGAAACGACAATATATGTATATATATATATACATATATCCATGCTGCCGAAAAACAGGAACCAAGAACCCCAATGGTTGGTGTCACGTTTGTTTCTGGCTTATGTGGACCAAACTGGCACACACACACACACACACTGCACTCAGTTGCCCATACCTGTCACTTCCAACAGCTTTGTAAAGATTCGTGGCCTTCACTACTAGCCTTGCGTTCAAAAGGCGAAGCAATGTGAATGAATCGACGCGCTCCCATGCAAACAAGAAGGTGAAACCATTCTTGCTGGCTTTTCAAGTCCGAAGAGCTGCAACACAGACACAGACATAGACAGAGACACGGACACACAGAAAAAGACAGAGGCGGACACACAGGCAGACGCACAGGCAGCACGGACAAGCAGCACAGACAGACACACAGACCAGACACACCGACAGACACACGGACAGACGCACGGACAGACGCACGGACAGAGACGCAGAGAGAGAGAGAGAGAGAGAGACACACACACACAGACACGCACACACACACACAGACACACACACACAGACACACAGAAACACAGAGACAGACATACTCTCTCTCTCTCTCTCTCTCTTTGTCTCTCGCAGCTGAGTGGTGGACAAAGTAAAGTCTGCCAAGCTGAGCGCTCTGAACACAACTAAAAGGGCCCTCCTCCTTTTGGGAGTGGAGGCAGTGACCCAGTGGGGGTAACCGAGGTGTAAGTCCCATCAAAACACACCGCAAAAGGCGCCACCCACGGACTGGCCATGCTTGGATGCTGGCACTGGTCGCCAAGGATCGTCGCCACGTTTGCAACTCTCGCTCAAGTCAGTTGGGCGCTCGGCGGATTTCTCTTCGCCCTGGGCTTTGAAGGCTTGAAAAATGGCGTCTGGGGGAGTCAACCTCTTCGGCAGGACTTTGCCTCTCCAGTCAGCTGCATTGCGGCCTCTGTCAGCGCTGCCCACATGCACGTGCGGCGATGCATACTCTTGCTTCTCTGGCTTTCATGAAGGAAGCTTGCGGAATGAGGCATGTGAGGTGGCCGACTGGGCCCTCAGCCGACAGCTTCGGATTAGGCTTCATCAGCTGCGTCGCTTTCTTTGTCGCCGCCCACTTGGCTCTTCATGGCCAGCCCTTGCGTGCTGGCTTGGCTTATGCATGAAGCAAACATAGCGCCAGGCCGAGCTCGTGACTGCAATGGAGCCAATGCTGCTTCAAGTGATCATGCAAGGAAGCGAGTGCGCACTGAGTGTCACATATGGTGCAAACTGGCAGGCACAGTCGGTTGTGACCGAAGCGCCTGAACATGCCTGCGAGTGGAATACAGATTGGCAAAGACTCCCGTGCAGAACAAGCATTGGTTCGTGCTTCCAAGCTGCGCTGCCCATGGTGCCCCTGTCCCCGTAATGTCTGATGTATTGCAAGTGCTTTGCCGTGGGAAAAACACTCTCTCGCATCGCGTTCTGTCTTGCAGCAAGAGTTGAGACAGACACACACACACAGACACACAGAGGATCTTGCCTCCAAATTGAGTAGCTGGCAGTTTCTGATCATAGGTGTTGATTGACGCATCTCATGAACCAGGGCCATTGATGTTTTTGAAAAAGATACCTATGTTTCTGATGGTTCTGAGAAAAGCCGCGACAGGCATGTCGGCATGTCGGCCGGAGCTTTGGCTTCCAAACAATCGAAACAACTGCTCCTGTACGTTCTGGACTGCAGGGCTTTCTCTTTTGTTCCTTTTTAGATGTTGCCATTTGGCTGTGGGTCAAAATGTACCAAAGGGGCACCTTGGCAAATAGAACCAAAGACTAACACCTGCGTAATTTCGTTTGTATAATTTTGAGCCACACCCATTTGGAGTAGTGTAAAGGGGTTCCAGGTGAGGTGATGCTTGTACGTTGGAGATTCAGTTGTAATGTAGGTCTACTTCCGATGATCGAACAGTCAAGACGGTTTGCAAGGAAATGGGTGTGGCTCAAAAATCAAGACCCAGGGTTACGCAGGTTTCAGTCTACTTTTCCATTTACCAGGGTTCCATTTTGGGGCCCTATTTTTGACCCACAGCCAAATGTAAGGACAACCACCAATTTCCAGGGTTCCCCGATTTTGAGACAAAGCTCAATCTACTTGTTGGACTCAATTTCCGAGAAAGAGCGCACGTCGAACTATGCGAGGTTCAGCTGGCTACAGCTGAGCGCAGCCGGTCTTGCGGGTTGAGCGGATCTTTAAACCACCGCGGCCCTCCCGGAGGACAAGGTCCGAGGTGAATGGCGCGCACAGGCTCCAAGCGTTAGAGAGGAAAGCGCCTGCGTGCGCAGCTGCTGGTTTGTAGCGTGCGTGCGTTCATTTGTTGGTTTGCTCGTCTGTTTGTTTGCTTGCTGACTTGTGTTGAGTTGTTTGCTTGTGGAAGCTCCTGAGTTCATGGAGGAGCGGTTCACAAACTGGGCCGTCGTGGCCTCGCATTTGACTACGCTATCATGAGATCCGTTCGCTCAACTCCAAGAGAAAGTTTTCGTCTCGGGTTCGAATTATCGCATAAGTCTTGTGCAACTCCCACGGCCATGTTGGCGCTCGTTTCGGCTCAGCTGCTGGCTGGTGAGGCATAGTTTCTCCCTTCAACGCACCTGGCTTTCGGGCATGGGACAGCCATCACTCTGATTCAGGACTTCTGCATTAGTGGATATATAGCGTGACCACTTGCTAGTGGATGCAGTGGGACCAGGGTCGAATGAAGGTTTCGGGGATGGACTTTCTTGAGCACCTCACGGCCATGGACCTAGTGCTGCCCCGACTCTGCATGGCTCTTTTAACATATGATCAACGCATCTTTTGCTGAAGCTCTGGCGAGGAAATAAGTGCATGGGCTCAAAAGACCGCACAGCCATTCTCCTCAAGGCTGATCTTTGAGTGAACATGCTTTTATCCCTGGTTCCACTCCGGGCATCTTCCTCTTTCTAATCAACAGTTCCCTTTTGCAGCTCTTAGCCAAACCGCTGCCTTTTATCTCTTTCCCGTTCTTGTCGGAAAAAACCAACTGGGTTCAGTGACCCCCTCAACAGAGGGGGTCCACTTTGTCCTTTCTAACCAAGGGACAACACACACAGACAGGGCAAACGCTGAGCACATGTTACAGCCAGTTGTTCAACCAGCAGGAGCGCATCACCACGATTTCAAGTTATTAACACCGCATCCTTGTTTTATCTTATGAACCAAACTCTGACAGACTTGGCTCACCTTTTTCACTGTTCGCCTTCGGTTTTCCTTCCAGTTCCCTTACAAGCAGCTATTGGAACCACTCCCGTGGTTCCCCCAATGCCATGGCGATCCCTTTGGACGCGGCACAGCGGGTGACGGACCCTCAGGTGTTGGCACAGCTGCAGCAGCAGCATGGGGGAGCTCGCCAAGTGGAGCCGCGTCGGAAAGCTGCGTACTCATTTTCGGATTTGGACCCACCCACATGGTGGTTTTCCTTTTGGTTTCCATTCAAACACCAAGAAAGGTTGGTACCCTCAAAAAACACACTCATATTTAGAATGGGGCGAGAGAAGTTTAACAAAGTCCCTTTATATAGTATGCTCGTCCCACTCAACGAACACCCACGAAGCTGCTTTACTAGGGTTGCCAGGGGTCGATGGCGATGCTTGCCAACCCGGACATAGCAACGACCAGTCCTTCGGTGTCCGTTGCGTGTGCTGTCCCGAAGGTGCAGTTTCATGCTTTTAAAGGTTAAAACCCAAACCCAAAACCATTTTTGGGGGTTCCCTGGAATAAGAATGGAACCTTTTGTGAGCTTCCCAGAAAGCTAGCTTTCAGAAGGCTCCCCAATTCTGACGTATGGGCTCGTTTCATGCTGAAAGAGGGCAGCGCCAAGTATATTTCTTGACCTTTCATTTCGAAGGCACCAGGGCGAAAGCAGATGGCACTAATCCCCTTGTCCGTAGAGAGGATGATACAGCCTCAATGGGGAGGTTGTGCTACGTATCCTCATCCAACTGTACACCTTTGAGATGGTACTTTAAGGCTCCAAAGGTCACTCGCAGCTCGCAGCTCCACAACCCACCCTTAGGGTTTATGTGGCAGTCATTTTCTTTGGGGTATCGGACTTTCACGTGCGTAATTGTATCCAAGTGTCCATCACCCCACCCCCCCAAAAAAAAAGAAACACAAAAAGTAAAACTCCAATAAAACACAAGCAACAAATCCCCCAGCCCCTCCTCCCAGCCACCTTCCCCAGCCACCCCGCCTTAGGACGCGGATGGCAGCGTCTACGCCTCCGTGGGCACTCGCCCGGTGCCGCCGCCCAAGGCGCTGCGCGCCATCCACGCGGAGCGGCAGCGCGAGCGCCAGGAGCGCGAGGAGCAGCAGGCACGGGGCCCCGGCCGCGAGCGAGCGCACGAGCGGCGCCCACGAAGGGGGGGGGGGCGGATCCTCTAGAGCTGGAGGTTTTTTGTTGTTTTTGGGATTGATCGACGTCTTTTTTTTTGGGGGTTGTCTACGTGTTAATGGGTTGTTTGCTTGTTCTGTTCGAGGACTTTATATGCATTATGGGCTTTGTATTGTCAACGTGTTGTGAACCTAATACGTGATTGTAGTACAAGTCTACTTCTGACCTTTATTGTCTACCATAAATATCTTGGTTTCTACAACCAATTTGCGGCCAGAGCGGCAGAGAGCCGGAGCACTAGCAGCCCTACCACTGCGGGGAGGTTCGGTGGGTTTTGATGGCGCCCCTTCAATCAATCTATAAAGCAGCACGCAGGCTCAACATCGTGTTTTGGGAAGATCATGGTCTGTTTTTTGGTTAGGTGGCCAGCGAATATGCCGTGTGCCCAGGATAAGCCAACCCTCAACCAAACCTACATAACAAGCCGAAATCCACGAACAGGCAACTTGAAGCCAAGCTTACACCCATCTAAACCCAACACTGTGCCAACCCGAATTCAACCTCAAACCAACCCTGCGCCAATCCTATACGGCTGTGGCTCCAAAACCAATGGTACCATTTTGGGGTAGGTGAATTCACCACCCATTTTGCCTATTTTAGTGGGGGATTGAATCGGACGTTCACTGAGGCGATTTGGCTTTTGACAAGCCCATGGCCAACCCATACCATTTAACATTCGCGGGGAGAGCTTGACGCCTCGACGCCAGGAAGCCGAGGTCTTTGAGCGGGAGATGGGCATGACGGCGCCTCGGGCCCTTTTTGTTTTGGGAGGTCGCGACCACCGCACGAAATGAAGCCATTCCAGGGGTTGATGCCTTTTCCATTCTTTTCAATCATCGTTCTTTTCAAAAACCTGCTGTTTTCCCTGGGTTTCTGGCGGTTTTTTGGAAAGAAGGATCCCTGGAAAGAATGGGCAAGGTACCCCTAGAACCATGGTTGAAACCATAGTGTTTGTGGGTATTTACGTTGGGGAATGGAATCCTTCCAGGCTTTTGTAGGTGGTGCGAAATGCCTTTCGTCCATCCAGAGTGGGGGTCCCTGACTGGAGGCCTTGTCTCCCGGATTTCTGAAATAGAATAGTTTACCCAGCATGTTGCTGTCGCGGTCTGTCGTTTGTTTGAGGAGGGTTGTGGCTCAGACAATGATTGAAGGGAAGTCGAGGTTGACGCGGGCGTTTGGGGTGAGCAAATGAGCTAAGTGAGCAAAAGAGCACATGGGAGCTTGCCAAGCGCAAATCAAACCACCACCACGCTCCAAACCACCCTTTTTGAGGGAAAATGAAGCCGTTGTCCGGCTACCCTCCAAAAAGGAACAAGTCCATCTGCATGGGGCCGTGGAGGAGAAAGAGGCACTATTTTGGGCGTCTCTTTTTTGTTGGGGGGGGAGGTCCCAAAACGGCGTTCATGTCTTTGGTGCATTTTGCTGGATGTCAGGACTTTAACTATTTGCCAACTAATGAGTTTTCCACTAAACCTAAGCTTTTAGCAGGGGAACAAAAAGCAAAAGCAACTGAGAAACGCCTCAGGTCAAGGAGAGCCGCACCCTGCTGGCCTTTGATGCCGACGTGGAACCCGCCGCGCGCCGTTTGAGCGCCCAAGAGCAGCTGGAGGTGGAGCTGGCGGACACGGCCTGCCGTGCCCCGGAGGGACGAAAAAACGATGTGGGATACCCTCCCTCCCACTAACATGGCAACTGAGAGTCGGGGTCCCTTCAAAAGGAAATTCATGTTCCAGGTACCCACAGGTGCCATGTTAGTTGGAGGAATGGTACTCTTAAAAGGGCCGGGGTTGGGGGTTTCATGGTGGTTGGTCTTGTCTTTTTCTTCGTTGCCTGGGTTGTTGGGTTTTCTTGTGTGTTTATTGTGTTTGATTATATGTTGCTTTGTTTGGCTTTGTTTTACGCTGCTTTGGTTTGGTTTGGTTTGGTTTGGTTTTGTTGCTTGTTTGTTGGTTTGTTGGTTTCTTTCTTCCGTTTGTTTGTTCGTTTGTGCATTTGTTTGTTGTTTGTTTGCTTGTGCTTGCTTGTTTGTTTGCTTGCTTGTTTGTTTGCTGATTTGTTTGTTTGTTTTTGGGTTTGTCTGATCGTTTGATCGTTTGTTTTGAATGTTTTGTTTTGGTTTGCCCGATGATTTGATCGTTTGTTTGCTTTGTTTTTGTTTGCTTGTTTGTTTGCGTGTTTGCTTGGTTGCTGGGTTGGTGGTTTGGTTGATAGGTTTGGCTGGTTGGTTTGATTCGTCTGGTTTGCTTTTCTGTATATTTCTTTGCATTGCTTTTGCTTGCTTTTGCTTGCTTTTGCTTGCTTTTGCTTGCTTTTGCTTGCTTTTGCTTGCCTTTGCTTGCCTTTGCTTGCCTTTGCTTGCCTTTGCTTGCTTTTGCTTGCTTTTGCTTGCTTTTGCTTGCTTTTGCTTGCTTTTGCTTGCTTTTGCTTGCTTTTGCTTGCTTTTGCTTGCTTTTGCTTGCTTGCTTGCTTGCTTGTTTGCTTGTTTGCCCGGTTGCTAGTGGTAGACACATACATGTATGCACGTACACACACAGACATGTGTGTGTGTGTGTGTGTGTGCGCATGCGCGCATAGTTGTGTATGCAAAACATGACAGGAGGTCCCCTGGAAGATTCTGGTTGTGCCATTTTTTTAAAGAGCGCAAGCACGTTGTACAAGACAGGTAGGTAGGTTAATGCGTATGCGATGTGCACTTTGAATGCAGTCCCTTCACAGTGATGAGGAGAACCCATGGCTTTTTTCCTGTCATGCAACCCGGCACACCCCAATTCACGAAGCGATACCCCCGCTTGTGGGGCTGCCATGCAGAACCTGACACACGCATTTGTATACATATATATATACACATAGATATATGGTTCGATCAATTAAGAGGTGCGTCCTTTCATTGGGGTACATGATTTGCGAGTCCCTGATTCACGAGAACATCCAAATGGAGTCTCACAATAGGTTGTTGACCCTCCCCCAAATGGGCTTGGCTTTCCTCTAGGCTTGCCTTTATCACAGCAGACAATTTAAGGCTTCTCAGAATTCTAGTAGCTCAGGTCAGGTTCCAAGACCTAATTTTCCTAGGATACGACTCACCGTCGGTTCTAAGTCTTCTGGGGGTGGCCCTAAGTTTGATACGTCCGCGGAGGATATGAGATCGCTGGCTGCGGCCTGGGCGAGTGCGACGGGAGCTACGTCTTCATGGAGGCGATCGAAGTCCAAGTCCCGCTCCGCGATCGAAGTTTTCTTCTGCACCTATTTGGGTGGAGCGGTTGGTTTTTAGGGACCACAGTACTATATATGTATGTATATACGTATGTATATATATCTATATATGTATACATATATACATATATGTATATCTGCTTTCTGTTTGGGTGTGTCTTTATTTCTATTTTCGGGGACCACCTCAAAAGTGATTGGTGGACATGAATCCCCACCCAAATGATGTCCACCAAAGGATGCCCTATTAAAATTCATAGCCATTTGGGTGTGTCTTCCTTCTTTTTTTAAGGGTACCACAATATATATATATATATATAAATACACACAAGTGGGACCACTATGTTTACATCCACATATATATATATATATGTATATACACACCTACATATATATATATATATATATATATATACACATACACGGGTGTGTCATTTTTAGGGGCCCCCCAAAAAATGGCGGGTTTATTTTTGGTTCTGCCCTCCCCCCAACCAGAAAAACAAACGAGAATATGGCGGGTTCATGTTTGGTGTCCCTTTAAACAACCACCGGAAAAGGGGTAGCCTCAAAGAAGACACGCCCATTTGACACTTTTGAAGGTTCGCTGAGTTTCGAGCGTCAGGCCGAATTATTCTCTTTGGCAGGGGGGCCAAAGCTGAAGCTTACCTCAAAAGCAGCACCTTCTTTGGCACCCTCACACAAGCACGCCCCATGCTTATTTTTCCTGTTGGGTTTGAAGACGATGGTTTTGGCAAATGTGTTGCTTTTTAATGACAATCAATCGAACAAGCCCGACGGGGCTCGTTTCTCGATTGGTTGGCGGGATGGTGTTCATTGCGAGGTTCTGGAGGGGTAAGCAAACCGAGCTCGACGTGAGGGTTCATTTCTTGTCTCATTCCGGATCTTCAGTTGGTGAAGGGGCAGCATTTGCGCAGGTCGGTTTTCACAGTAGAGGGGTCACCACCCAAAAAAGCGAACAAACATTAAGGCTCGCGGCACCAGAATTGCCTGTTTGTTTTTGCCAGCAGCTTTTTTCTTGTCACTAAGAATCTCGGTTTGGGCTGTTTTGGGTTCCATGTGAACAACTAGCGGAAATCTTGAACCACCGCATGGTCGAAACTCCCTCTTGTTCGGGGCTGGTAGGGACGGTCATCAACTCAATCGTGTAAACTTTGGTGCATTTTGCTTGGATGT